CGTCGGGTTTGAGATCAATTGAACAATCAGAGTGCGTAAAAAAACATGTTTCCAAAGTGCGTGTTTCCACGGAGAAGCTCGCCAAAAATGCGTCTCTCGATGGGGGTGTGGCAAGGCTTCCGGGCAGCCCCACTCGCCTCTGTCTGAGAGCTCGCCGCAACAACTTCCAAGCTCGCTGTAGTCGAATGAAAGGGGGTCTACGATGCATAAAGAAACTAAAAGAAGACCTTTTAGCTTCCCAAGGCGAGGAGCGAGCCTCACGAAGACGGAGGACTCGGACGATTTGACGGCCAGCAGTCCCACGTCTAAATAGCTTTCGATTGCGCGCAGACAGTATATACAGTCAGGGCCCTCGGGCAGTCTCTAAGTCGCGTATTTTTCTATTGACGCCAGTATTGAACTATTTTGGCGAGTGGAGTTGGCCAACTAAAATCGTTTCTTTGCACCGAGTTCATTCTAATGCACGGATGAAGTTTTTAATGCTCCTCCACACACCAAAAAATGACAAAGTGTATCTTTCTTTCTCTATGCGTTCTTGGATGAATGCACCTTCTGATTAAAGCTAAAATCATTGATACGCATCATGTACAAAACAGTGAATATACCTTAAAGCTATACTAGAAAGGTGAAAGGGTGCAGAGTTTTATGACGTACTACGATGGTATGTTGCTCTACCTGTGGCCAAGCAGTTTAATTTCATATCACGAAGATGTTGGGCGAGCATTGCAGGTGCGTGGCGCCACTTCCCCTGCCAACCACCATATGATTATCTACTGAATCTCTCGAGAGATACGGTTGAGTGAGTTGTCCATAGCAGTCGCTGTTCCATAGCACCGACAGCCAGTCTTCGTCATGAGTAAGATGATCAGCTAGTGATAACTCGTTCGTGTACCAACAACTCCACAACATGAGTTCAAGTAGTAGCTTTGCGAGAGAAAAGGGTTATCAGTCCTCCGTGGATGTGCACATCGACAGCAGAGCCACAGTAGGTGTGATGGTCACTGGCCTGTCCAACACTCTATGGGTGAGGGAGAACGGAGAAACTGAGAGCACTTTCGGTCACGAGGAAGAGAGGGCTGATGGGTGACCAGAGGCTTCTCTCACAAGGACAGGAAGAAGGCAGGAGTTACCGACACCGGTGAGATCGTGAGATCAGATGGTGTGTTTGATGGCAGATGAAGATTGTTGAGTGAGATATCGTTTTGGTGTCTAGGCCTTGACGCGGATGGTGGACGGAACGTCGAAAGCTGTGGCCGTTGTGTTTTTGTAAACTGCATCTGTGCAGTGTGTGTGCAGCTTGTATATATAGAGAGACATGAGCGCTAGGCAATGTGGAGATTCGATCATCTGCTCTGACTCATTCCAGTCATACATGGTCATGAGCAGCTGAGGGGAACAGTTTGTGGGTTAACTGGATCACCAATCGAGCTATCTGAGAGGGTGGGGGGAGAAGCTGTGGGTTATGTTGGGTAATGCGCTGATTGTAGACTAATCATCACTCTTTACTCTCTCTTGATGGAGGGAGGTTGTGACTTGTGCTGGATCATGACTGGGGTTGTGCCTTCAACTGAACCTCACGACTAGGTTAGGTTAAGTATGAGAGTTGCATGACGTGCCTCGTACAAGCTTGGGATAAGCATTGGGTGAGCTCCTTGTGGCTGAGGATTTACACTGTGACGATGCCATCTTTCAGAGACAACACCATATTTTCTGCTATACATGCCCTTTGGTTCCCTAGAGCCTATAGCATCACCACGGCCTTGATACAGTCAAGCGCTGGAGCCTCGTGAAGACAAGGTTGGTAAGGATGTGGCGCAAAGTGCTCTGAGGGCCGCCTGGTGAAAGTCCTGGCTATATACTCACGTTGTGGCACAAAGACTCTGTGTGTTCGCCACTACAAGTAGTCAGAAACACTGGTACGATGCATATTACATTGTTTACACGACAACCACATAGTTTGAACAGCAACAATGCCTAGCACTTCTCTTTAAAATACTTCTTCACTCCTCAAAACTGGCAACGGTATATAGCACCATGGAGATGAAACATGGTACGCATGCAATTAAATCATTTCCATGACGACCACATGTACGGTAGTACATAGTGCATAGTGATTTGAATCGAGCATTCTGATTGGTCCACACGAGGTATTGATCTCCTGTAGTATACCTGGGACGCTCGTAGTACACTTGTTTTTCATGTAACTTTCACAGAAACATGAAGTTTTATCGTCAACAATAATTCTTGTGAATGAAAGTTTGTATACACAATATATTCAGTGTCGAAACACAACAATACATGTTTGTAAACAACAACAAAATCACCTCAGGCAATTATGTAAAGTTACTTCTCATTCCTCTAACTTAGCAATGGTTACCACGCATTGACATAAAAATTGGTACACATGCATGTAAATCATTTCCATGACAACTACATTGTACTACATGTTTGTAAAACAACAACAAATAGCCTCAGGCAATAGTCTTGAATTACTTCTCACTCCTCAAACCCGCTGACGGTAGCACACATCAAGATTAAACTTCGTAGCATAAGTATTACATCATTTCTATGGACAGCCAAATATGAAGAGCCTAACGCACTCTCTTTAAATTTCTTCTTCACTCCTCAAACTTGCTAACTGTAAACACACATGGAGATGAGACTTGGTGCGCATTGCATATTACATCATTTCCATGACGACACAACAACAACAGACCATCTTTCGATATTTTTTATCAGGCCTGCCTCCTGTACAGAAGCATAGAGTAGTATATAAAAATGAGTGCAGACAAAGTAAATTAAAAAATCCTGCGCATTTAAAGAAAAATAGGCATTGTTGCTAGGTGAAAGTATATTAATATTCAACATTACAATAATCATGACTATAGCTTAATACTGAGTAGCCAACACTAGAATAATGAAAAAGCACTTGAAAGGCATAACCTCGCCACTTTATTCTTTATTTCAGCAGCCAATGGTACTAGCTACACTACTTCAGTCTTTGCACATGCGTTTTCAATACTAGTTACTACTACAGCAAAGTGAAAAGCACTTGACAGTATATTATACATAACCCTCAGTCACCACTTTATTCTTTATTTCAGCAGCCAATGGCTACTAGCTACTGGCTACACTATCTCAGTGACTCCTTCACTGAACAGATTCGTTCCTGGCTCTCACTCACTGGCAATTTCGCTCCTACTCAACTGTCTTTATCTCTATTTGACTGACGCCACCTCACCTCGGCAGTCTTCCGTTTCGCCCGCTCCCCGGGCCTTCTCCGCTCCATAATCTTATTTACCGTGCATTCTCCTACTTGATAAGATGTCCACGTTTCACGCCCAGAGTTGCCGCGGGTTACCGAGAAAAAACGGTGGACAGACGGACGGACGGACGGACACACGGACACACACACACACACACACACACACAGACCGACGCGACTGCAATAACCCTCCGCTGCGCATGCGCGCAGCGAGGGTTAATTAAAGGAAATAAGGCAGTCTAAAAGGGCTAATGGAAATGTTACTAAAGATAAGAACAAAGTACAGTAAAAGAAAGTAACTGAGAGTAACATTCCTAATTTTAGCCTATACTACTGCCACAATACCTTTAACAGTGCCACACCAGGCAACAATATAGGGATTGTGTGATGGGGGTCGGGGGTGTCAGCGGGCTCAAATGTTTCATAACCATGCTTCATGTATCCCATCCCTATATTGTCTCCCTTCTTTTTATACTATCCCTATATGCCTCTATATACGTAGTCGTGTATAGAATGAGTGGAGACAGTAAAAAAATATCCTGCGAGTAAAAGTGGTATAATAAGGATGGTTAAGAGTGTCACACCAACGGCAACAATATTGGGATGTGTATGGGGTCGTGTGGTCAAATCTGTTCTATAACCATGCTTCATATATCCCATCCTTTTCTTGTCTGTTTCTACCGTCCCTATTCTTCTTTTTAAATTCGCAAGATATTTTATGTGTGACGGCTTTCGGGCACTCCACATACCGTAATGTTCTAAAAACACGCACCAACTGCTCACACTCGCTCGCCAACAATTCATCATGGGTATATATGTATTTGCATGATGTAATCTTGTGTCATCATTGTGGTCACTATAAAGTGTGTGCACACTAGTCATTCTTAGTCTCTCATCCATGTATGAGCTCGCTAAACAGACGATAATAATGTGACCGGCTATGAGATAATGGGACATCCTGGGAAAAAGTCGTTTTGGTACCATTAGCATTTCAGCTCTTTGAAGACTTGACCAGCCTCACCACTGACTTCATCGTGGAGCTCTTTGGTACTGGAGATCACTCCGGGAGAGTGTTTGGTGAAGCAACTTTTGAGCCCTGACAAGAATAACTTGGAGAAGTATATAGTGGAAAGCGAAGGAGAGGCTGAGGCTGATGAGGGTTTGGTGATTAAGCAGAAGGCCCTTCACTGCGTGGCAGTAGCTGGAAGAGACAGGCCAGGAGCTGGCTGCCGGGGGGGAAACACTCTGTGGAAATGGAGGACATATTGGCCATGTGGTGGAGCAGGCCTCGGTAGGACAACTCTGCCACTTGATCCAGCACTGTTCTGGAGGAAGTTGGCTGAAGAGACAGCTGAGGGGCCACGTCTTGCCAGGGACTGTTAGTTGACACCCACGAGCTGGATTACTCATGTTGCAGAGAATGCATGACTCCAGAGCCTTATGTGTTTAGCTGCCAGTACACCTCCTACTGTGGTGTCCATGTAGAGTAATGGGCAGAATCTGATACACAGGCAAGAATGAGAAGAATAAAGGCGAGATGAGGAGCTTTAGCACACCAGTCCATCATTGATGTTACTAACTTGATATGCACACCGCACTATGCACACTGTCAGCTACGCCTGCAGTCTTCTCTTCACCAATCGTGCATCCGTTGGTTTCAATGACGATACCGGTCACGTTGTACTGATATATAATGCGCATGCAGACCCATTTTTATTTGGTGCAAATAATTATATTATATACATTCTACACAAAAATACATTCTTCGATACTCTGCAGTGCTCCCCACCCACCTAGAATAATCATTTTGTCTGGCGATGTACTGACTAATAGACACCACTTCCGATCGCTGGCCATGTGCCCAATCTCCAGCCACTCCCTATCCACCAGCATGTGAATTGAGTTGCGTAGCGGCCTGTTTTCGACACCACCAACGATGACCAGCTGTCCGCAGAGAGTGGCAGCTGTTGACTGTGTTAATGGAAGGGGTGGTAGGCGTTTCCAAGATAGAGGGGTAAGTGACACAATTTGTTGATCACTGGACGGTAGCCGAAGAGGGCACGAGTAGCCTTTGTCGCCAATTCCTATGACATGAACTACATTGCCATATATTGTGGCTGAAGGGCGGGGGAGGGATTGCGGTAAGTCTGTTAGTTTGAACCACAGTCTGCTCTTCATTTGAAACAGCTCGACTGCCAGACTCCAGTTAATGCCAAGACTGCCCCCAATCACAACGAGGAATTCACCGTCAGCTGTGGTGGCTACGGCAGGAAACGAGCGCGAAGTGCTCATTGGAGGGTACTCTCTGTCCCACTTCCCCCACTGCAGCGTTAATAGCTTGTTGGAAAAGCGAGGAAATCTCCATCCCCCCCACAGCATTCAGCTCCCCTTCAATAATGACTAATCCAGAGTCGTAGTATGGACATGAAGGAAGTTCCTCCCATTTCTCTGTACTCAATTCGTACCGGTAGACCGAGGTGGAGTCCCACGGGGTGAAGTATGCAAATTGACCATCGGTTGTTGCAGATCCTCTGGCCATTCCACGTGGTGGTTCCGTGTTCTTTAAATAGCACTGCACAGTGAGCTGAGGGGTGACCATGATAAAAGTTAGTGTCAGTTTACCTAATAACTAACGATAAGCGTGGACGAAATTTGCACGACGCGATGGAGGCTGCCTCGGGTTCTAGTTCTAGCACTGCAGCTAGTTATGCTAGCAGTTCAACCTTCACGGACACTCCCTCGGTCGGATATGAAGCGGAGGAATCTGAATTTGAGAGTAGTTTGGCCGCCCCATTATCAAAAAGACCTCATGCCATAAACATAAACAAAATACCGTATATCAGTGCGTGCAATACTGACAAATTAACTAAAATACTGAAAATCAGGCTTCTTTCTACTGAAGCCTGAGAACACTGCTTGGAGGCTATGCCCCCCTTCCTCCTCAGACAAAAAAAAGAAGAGCTGTCCTAGATGGGATTCGAACCCACGATACGCGCCGAACACTCTACGAACTGAACTACCAAGACAACTGAGCTGGTAATCATACAACACAAGGCAAACCTTGAACCACTGCACTATGGCACTGTATACTCTCACTCAGTATGTAGGAACACACAGGGGTAATGAAAGACGCCCAACTCTATACTGAGTATAATGCATGTGTCAACCACGAGGTAGAGAGGCAAAGGCAAAGCAAACAAGTCAACTACACCCAGGACGACTATACGTGGGATTCAACTTCAGGACACTCTGCAGCCTAGGCAAGCGCTCTACCAACTGAGCTACCAGCTGAGTTGCCCAGGTAGCTCAGAGGGGGGTTCGAATCTACAGCACAATGCTAAAGGCAGCAAACCTTGTTTATGTGTGGCATGTCTTATGATTACGGTACTGATTACCTAAACTAACAGAGTAACCATAGGAAAGCTAATGTTAGCTTCTCATGTGCATGCATTAACTAGAAGATAGACAAAGCAAACACGTCAATTACAACACAACCCCCCCTTCCACCTCGGACAAAAAAGAAGAGCTGCCCTAGATAGGCTTTGAACCCACGATACTCGCTGAACCCACTACAAATTGAACTACCAGGACAACTCAGCTGATAAAGGGTTAAAATCATACAACAAAAGGCAAACCTCAAACCACTGCACTATGGCACTGTATACTCTCACGCATGCACATGAGAAGCTAACATTAGCTTTCCTATGGTTACTCTGTTAGTTTAGGTAATCAGTACTGTAATCATAAGACATTGTATTGTGCCACACATAAACGAGGTTTGCTGCCTTTGCATTTTGTTGTAGATTCGAACCCCCCTCTGACTCAGCTGGTAGCTCAGTTGGTAGAGCGCTTGCCTAGGCTGCAGAGTGCCGTGAGTTTGAATCCCACCTAGTCGTTCTGGGGTAATGAAAGAATTTGTCGGGGAAGATTTGGCAGAGCGTAAAAATTGAAACAACGCCAAAATAGAACATGTCAATGCTCGCATCGTACTTTGCTTTCGATACATCTTCATCATCGGGCTTTTCTTCCATGGCCTCTGGAGGCATGTAAATTATGGCCCCAGGTCCCTTTGTCATGGTGGCTGCAGCCCTCATACGAGGTATGATACGAGCCACGCCCAGGTCCGCTATCTTGGCTACCATCCCCGAGGTAAGGAGAACGTTTCGTGCCGACAGGTCGCGGTGGATGACGGGCGGCGATCGCTCGTGGAGGTAGGCTAGGCCGCACGCAACGTTGTGCACAATCGAGCACTTGAGGCCCAGCGGGAAGAAGGGTTTGGGCGCGTTGGCTTGGGGCGGCGGTCCGCCGTTTCGGGATCCAGCAAATCATGAAGGCTCGTCAGCAGTCGTTCCATAACGAGCGCTGGCAACTGCGAGCCGGGCAGAAAACACAATCCCAGAAACTGAACGATGTTCGGGTGGCGGAGGGTGCTCATTAGCTGACATTCCCTCACGAACTGAGCGGTGGCTTGACGGATAGCAGCGGACGGCACTTGGCGCGGGTCTTGGAAGATGTCGTGGATCTTTTTTGCAGAACGCCAACGCTGCCGTAGGCTCCGGCCCCGATTTTTGATTCCGGTCTCTCTAACGTTGGAGAGCACGAATGGCCTCAGTTCAGGATAATCACCGAGGAGGCCTTCGGCGGCCATCTCGCTAAGTCAGTGTCAGTTTTGGATCCTCTACTTGTGTATGCGCATGCGTGTAAGTTCTTCAGCCACCGCCGCGCCCCCTTCTTGCTGTCGTGGCTCTTTTGTTAGTGCGCTCAAAAGTCAGGAAGGTAAGGAGAATTCAACACCGCTCTGCACTTTAGTAACAGTATGTATCCATGCACTCAGTTATGAACTACGGCAATCCGGTTAGGATGCAGATCTTTGTCCAGACACCGGCAGGTAAAGCAATGAATATTGGTGTAGATAGTAATGACACGATAAAAAGTATAAAATACAAGATCGAAAGGAAAGATGGTCTCCCAGTGTACCACCAGACCCTATTGCACGAAGAGAGAGAACTGGAAGATGGTAGAATGCTTCAAGACTACGGCATAGTCCAGGGCAGCACACTCCACCTCCGTCTTTGCACAGAGGAAGATATTAGGGTACGCGTGAGGACACCTTCAGGTGAAGTGGTCCCTGTTGTGGTAGAGAGACACGGCACAGTCCAGATTCTCAAGTCAGTGTTAGAGGGTAAACTAGGGGTTTCAGTAGAACAGCAAAAAGTCTTTTTTCGAGGCAATCCACTGGAGAACCAGGTGTCCTTGATGCAGTATGGTATCCAGGACAGGTCAGAGGTGGGGCTAATGGTTATGGTCCCTATCACTGTCAAGACACTGACAGGCCAGGCCTTCTCTCTTGAGGTAGCCACCCATGAATCTGTCGATGAGGTAAAAGGGAAGATTGCTAGGGTAGCAAAGATTTCACCTGAGCAGCAACGACTGCTGTACAATGGGAAGCTTGTAAGCGATAGCTGCTCCTTGGACGACTACGGAATCTGTAGTGGCGCTGAAATTTATGTCGTACGGCGACTCAAGGTTTACGACATAAAAGTTAAAGCTTACAAGAGCGATAAGCGTGCGATCAAATTGAAAGTAGACGCCTCTTGTAGTGTCAAAAGAGTAAAGAAAATGATAGAGGGAGCGGGTGGTGCCCCACGTCGCTTGCAACAACTTACTCTATCGGGAGTGTGTCTTGAGGACAGGAGGAGAATGGGGTACTACAACTCACTCATGTCCAGGAAGTGCAGGCTAGTTGTGAAGAGTGGGCCGAGCTACCAGGTGTTTGTGAGGGGTCTATCGGGGAAGACGCTCTCTGTGTGGGTGAGAGGGGAGGACTCGGTGGAGGAGCTAAAGTCTCTGGTCTATGAGAGGGAGGGGATTCCTCCGGACCAGCAGAGGCTCTTGTGCAGGGGGAGACTGCTGAGTGACGGGAAGAAGTTGAGGGACTATGGTATTCATAGTGGGAGTACTCTTGATCTGTGTCTTGGACTCTTGGGTGGTTTCCAGATATTTGTGAAGACTTTGACTGGGAAAACTGTCACTCTTGAAGTATGTGTTAATGACACTATTGCCAATGTTAAGAATAAACTTCACGATAAGGAGGGTATACCTCCAGACCAGCAGCAACTTATATTGGCTGGTAAGCGACTTGAAGATTTGAAAACGTTGGGAGACTACAATATTCAAAAGGAAACGACTCTACACTTATATCTTTCGGCGCTACAGCCTGGGAGTATGATGGTGTGGGTTAAGACTCTAACAGGAAGATCCCTGCACGTGGGATTGAACGTGAATGATTCCATTGAAATGGTCCGAGCTAAATTACGAACAGAGACAGGAATTCCACCAGACCGACAACGAATCATTTTTGCTGGGAAGGAACTGGAAGATGGGCACATTGTGGGTGAATATGGCGTTAAACAGGGATCCACTCTTCATATGGTTCTTCGGCCCAGAGGAGGTATGCAGATCTTTGTGAAGACTCCAACAGGTAAGACAACCACTCTCATTGTGGACCCCAGTGATACCATTGAGAATGTAAAGGCCAAATATCAAGAAAAGGAAGGAGTAGCACCAGAGGAGCAGCATCTTTTCTATGGAGAAAGGTTGGATGATACGAAGACCCTGAGTGACTACAACATTCACAACGATGCAACTCTTCATATTTTACTTCATTCAAGTATTAATGTTAAGACTCTTACGGGTAAGACCCTCTCCGTTTCGACGGAGGCAAGTAGTACCACTGAGGACATTAAAGCAAGCATTTGGCACAAAGAGGGAGTACCCATGGATCAGCAACGACTTATATTTGCTGGAAGGCAACTGCTGGATGAGAAAAAACTGTCTGAATACAATATTACGAATGGCTCCACTCTACATCTTGTTCTTAGGCTAAGGGGAGGTATGCAAATATTTGCTAAGACCCCGGAAGGCAAGATCACCACCCTAGAGGTGGAGTGTTCAGATACCATTCAGACTGTAAAAGCTAAGATCTGGGACAAGGATGGGGTACCACCAGATCAGCAGCAACTCACATTTTGTATGCAACGCCTTGAAAACGAGAGAACATTAATTGATTACAATATACAAAAGGAGTCTACTCTGCTGTTGCACTACTTGACGTGTGTGTATGTAAAGCTTGTCACAGGTAGAACTATCAGTTTTGGGGTGTATGGCACTGTTGATAACATCAAGACCAGAATTCACAATCAAATGGGAATCCCACCACATCTACAACTACTCACATATGATGGAAAACTCCTTGATAATGGAGAGGCCCTGAGTGACTATAAAGAATCGACCCTTTCTCTACGTAATGCTATCGTCAAATTTCCGACATTCAATGGAAAACATATCGACATAATGGTTGGACTCAATGAAACGGCAAGAGAAGTTAAGGAGAGAATCGAAAAATTAGAGGATATTCCAAGCTATAGGCAGAAGCTCATATATGCTGGAAATAAACTAAATGACGATAAAGTGATAATGGACTGCGTGAAAAGTGAGCAGTGTATAATTGACTGCATTTTTAATGGCAGCATCCAGATATTTGCGGAAGTAGACATACCTGCCCATCATTCCAGAATGTGCTTGGAAGTAATCCCCGAAATGCAGGTGTTCCACGTAAAAAGAATGATCGAGCAGCAGAAACACATCCCAACCCACATGCAGTCGTTGTTAAGTGGAGAAGTGAAACTGGAGAATTCAAAGACTTTGAATGACTGTAACATCAAGGAACAAAGTACGCTTACACTGATTATTGAGCCTCCAAGTGAAGTCAGAAATTTTACTATTACACTGAAAAGTACTTTGGGTACATGTGAGATAGTAGAACCTTCACTTATAAAACAATTGAAGAGCAGTGCATCATTTAAGCTCTACTATGGTTCAGTACAGTTAGAGGAAGGCAGTGCGTGCCTTTTCACACACAAGAGCACTCTGTTTGTCGCATCACCTGAAGAAATCCCAGTTCTAGTCAGAAGGCCCCAAAGTCACGAAACAGAGTTTATTGGTGTTTGCCCAGAGAGCAAGGTTGGGAGCATAAAGTCAAAGCTAGCTGGAGTGACCCCTGGTAACCAACTATTTTTGGGAGGTGTCCAACTATCGGAGAGCCAGACACTGGATCATTATGGAATAGCAGCAGCCAGCGAGGTTCTTCTGACTGACCCTGGAACAGTGCCACTCTTCATCAGAACAAGGTTTAGAGAAGAATATATCTGCTGTAGGCCAACCTGCACTACTCGGGATTTGAAACTGACCATTTCAAAGGTCTTAGGTGTACCTGTTGCATGCCAGCGACTTGTCTACAACCAAAATGTGATGTTCAATGAAACGAAAAAGCTAAGTTACTACGGTATTCATCCCGGTTCCACTGTTCTTCTTGTAATCACCCCTAATGAAATGGATGTTCACGTCACCCTGCCATCAAAGAAGGTAACGACTCTCATTTGCTCACAAGACGACAAAATTGAAGATATCAAGTTGAAGGTTGAGCAAAAGGAGGGCATACCTGTGGAGCATCAAGCTCTGCTCTTTGAGGACGACAAGATGACTCTCAGAGAGGCCAACATCACACCTGGACTACACTTTCAAGTCTTCTATGGTAAGCATGCATAGCTATAATTATAACCACGCATATTTTGAAACATGCACTCTTTTCTGCAGATTTTTCTTCATATGCTCAAGTTGATCATATCAGAACCATGGACTTGCACCTACAGCAAGAATGTCGCAAGATTGTTCAATCACAAAGGCATCTTTTGGATACTCAGGCACTTTTAGATGCTAAACAGGAAATAGAACAGACACAAAGTGACAGGAAAGTAACACTGCAAGAATGTCACATACGCAAAAGAGAAACGGTGGCAGAAATTGAATCTAGTCTCGTTAAAATTTCAACTTTGCAGCGTGAAACTGACTTAATGAGAAGGGAAAATGAGAAATTAAAGAGAGAATTTGATGCTGAAAAGGATAATAGTCTGAAGGAAAAACAACATCTCGAGAATGAGATTGAGGGTTTAAGAGTGCACTCAACTGAACAAGAACGGCAGAAGCAGCAACTCGAGAGTGCTAATCAAAACCTCCACGAGCGACTGGCAGCCTCTCGGGTTGAGTCAGGAACACTACAGCGACAGATCACTGCACTTTCGGAAAGACTTGCTGCCTCTCGATCTGAATCAGCCGAACTACAGGAAAGACTGGTTGCTGCTTTAGGTGAGTTACAGAGGCATTCGCAGAGGGACCCTGAAGCAGTAGACATCACTCCTTGGAATGTCCCACGCAGTGACGTACACACGTCGCCAGAGGAGATAGGGAGGGGAGGGTGGGGGGTGGTGTTGCGGGGGACATACGAGGGAGAGACGGTGGCCGTCAAGCAGCCTCACCGAGACCTCCTCAACCAGCGGCTCCTGGAGCGACTCAAGAGAGAGACTCGACTCATGATCCAGATCTCTCACCCCAACCTCGTCAGGATCATCGCCGTGGTGTTTGACGAGGCGGCCGAGCGTCTGAGACGCCCGCCACTGATTGTGACGGAGCTCCTGGACATGAACCTCCGCCAGTGCTACCAGGAGAGGAGACTACAGCCGCGCAACAGAGTCCCCGTGTTCCTCGACGTAGCCAGAGGACTTCACTACATGCACGACCGCACAGAGCCCATCATCCACAGAGACGTGAGTGCCCCTAACGTCCTCCTGAAGGCACTCCCCAACGGTAGGTGGAGGGCAAAGGTGTCGGATTTCGGATCTGCAAACCTGGCCCGTCTCTCCGTGACGGCCGGGGAAGGAGCCATCATCTACACGGCCCCCGAGGCCTTCCCTCTGCGATCCCCCGACTCACCGAGACCGCGACACACAACAAAGATCGACGTGTACAGTTTTGGGATCCTCATGTGCGAGGTGGTGACAGCAGAGCAGCCGGACCCAGAGCTGTACCAAGTGAGACTGGGGCAGGTAGAGAGACTGTCTCGTCCTTTGCACAGCCTCGTCGTCAGGTGTACCGACCACGACCCAGACAAGAGGCCCACAATGGCCAATGCCATCCACGAATTGGGTAATATCTCCTTACCCTAATGCAGGAGCATGAGTTTGACATAACATATAGAATAGAGCAGGAGCATGACTGTAACTGAACAAAATTAGCTTGTTTTGTAGAATTTGCTTTCTTTTGAAACATGTAATGCCAGTAATGGAACTCTTTAATGGCTTTCTATGAGTAACATCAAGTACAGTGGAACCTCCAAACAAGGGACACCATGGGACCAACGATTTTGTCCCTTGTAGAGAGGTCGTCCCTATCTCAGAGGTCAAATATGCTAAAGTATTAGCATGGAGATGAAACAAATGTCCCCAGTTCGAGCCTCTGAACAAAAGATATAAACGAGCTCCTGGACCTAAACCTCTATATAATATTATCATTTTCAGCCACACAGCAGGGTCCCTGTCTTCCTGGACGTAGCCTCGCGCGTAGCTTCGTGTGCGAGGTGGTGTCCGGAGAGCAGAGCCGGACTAGAGCTATACCAGGAGAGGCTGGGGCAGGTAGGGAGACTATCTCGTCCTCTCCACAGCATCGCCGTGAGGTGCACTGACCACGACCCTGACAAGGCCCACATTGCCATCTGTGCTACTTGCCTTCTTTTATCCTTGTGCAGGACAGGAATGGACAGACACACTGAGTACCTTTTTCTGTTAGCAAAGTGAACAGCGTTGTTGTATGGATGGCTAAAAGCTGTAAAAATGTTATATACACAGCCTGGTGAGCTTGCCAAATGAGGTCCTTCCTTATATAGCACAGCCATACATACTTGGATGTAAATAGGTCTGAGCAGGGCTTTGTAGGTATTATCACATGATTTTGTGGTAATGATACTTAATTACTCCTCATTTACTCACACTATCAAGAGGTTTAGCTAATGCACTAACCAAAGAGTCTCTACTCTGCAGTAAAATTATGCCTCTAATGGCGGTTGTTATATTGACATTTACTGGCTGTGGGTTCAATCTTTTGTGGTCACTCCACGTAGACACCGACACTGCCACTCCATGTCTCTCCTCCACTCAGTACAGAGAGATGGTCGTGGTTGTTGTAGGCATCTGCCATCCCCGACATTGGCTCCATGGCAATGGCTCCCTGGCGCCCGGTGAACACGTGAACAAAGCGGAAACTGCTGTCTTGCCACAAAACAACACTCTGGTTCGTGGGTTCATCATAGAGCCCTGTCAGTATAAAGTCGCATCTTGGTTTCCTGGGGGTTATCGGCTTGAATTCGTCGTCGTAGAATGTTGGGTTTAAGAGTGTACCACCGATTGGGTCTGATCCGTTGAGGCCATAATACCTCGTAGTCTCACCAGTGGGGTCCATGTTAGCATCGAGTTCCACGTGGTTCCATGACGTGCAGGGATCCAATACCACGTAGGCTTCATTTGGCACGCAGCAAAAGTACGGGTGCCAGCCCATGTAGAACGGCATTGGGGTGGACTCCATGTTATTAGTGACGTGGAAATCCATGGCGAATCCTGACTCTGACAGTATGTAGTCAATCGACAACTCGAAATGAAAGGGGTAGCCGGGGAGAGGGTGGTTGAAAGTGTAGGAGAGCTGCAGGAGGCCGTAATGGGCTGTAGCCTGTGTGTCCGTGATTGTCATCTTCTTTCCGTCCATGAAGCCGTGGAGGGCATTGATTAGAGGGGGGTCAATGGACAGCTCGTTCAGTGGCAGACGATAGACTGAATTAAAAAACTCGTACCTTCCCTGGATTATGATAAAAAATGGCAACAGTAAGAGAACAATCCAAGTGTTTGTGGTGAATAGTAGACAGGACAATTTTATGCTCACATAGGCAATTCGGTTGGCCCAAGGTATGAGGAGCATTCCCTGCCACCAGGTGTTCTCCTCAACTGCTGAGGCCTGGTTGTTGTGTGTCAGTAGAACCCTTCTACTTTCCCCCGTGATTTCAGACCTCAGGAACAGATCCTCCACTAGACCTCCATAGTCTACTATCACCTCCACATACTCACCTGCACACAAGTGGAATCTCAGTGATATAATATACTTCAAAAGCTGGTCATACAAATAGAAGCATAGGAGATTATTTTTTAGATATGCAAATACGACGTTAGAGAGGCTTTTAGCATTTTAAAAATCAGCTCTTTTCTGCTGCTGTTGTGGGTTTCGTAGTGGCTGTCACCATCCAGGGTGCCGCCCACAGTTGTTTCGTAGATTGAGTAGTCGGCTGTGCAGACTGCAATCAGAAACTGTACCACCGTCAGAAGAAGAACTGTGCCTAACATTTTGCAAAGGCAATAGCTAGCTAATACTATGCGCATGCGTGAGGTGCGCGCGCGGTGACGCACACCTTGTCACGTGATCATAACATGGCCGTTTCCGGCCGGCCCGCGCTCTAGATCCGGATGCGTTTGACGAACGAGACACACACACGGGGCTAGAATGAGAGACTGATCTGTGCCTTGAGTTAGCTGTTTCTTCCTTGTGATCCACAGTGGCGAGACTCACTCAGTGTAAATGGTGAGTATACGGTACAAGAAGAGTGTCACAGAAACCCGTTTGTGTATGTCGAGCGGAAACAGGTTGTCCTGCTCCAGGGTAAGTTGTGGCTCTGCTGTTCTTGTCTGTGGGACTACGGGGCATGGATATATACCTCGGGCAAAGCATGGCGTTGTGACCTGAGCTGAGTTCGTCTGGCGGCTGTCACTAGCTAGTCAAGTGGATGGCTTAGTTGATGACTGGTTGTTGTGGTTTACTGTGTGTAGTCCACTTCAGCATGCACTTCGGGACATGTAATCCCTACATACACGTACTGTGATACTAGGTGGTGTGAGTGTGTGCCAGTTTCACCTTGATCTGCATGTGGCGGCTTTGACCCCTCCCCCTATGTATGTATAAGATATACAACATACATACACCATCTCTAATACTATGGACTCATCGGTAAGTACATGTATGCACATATCTTACTCTTGCAGTGTGCAATCAGATGACAGTACGTCCATCACAACTGATCACAATGTCAGGTTCCTTCGGTGAGCTCTCCTCTCTACACCTTCCACTTCCTCTCTTGTTTCCTCTATCTACAGTACAAGTGGCACCTTGACGTGCTGTAGGATTATAACGTAATGTTCACCATCATCATAATTTGTGAAGCAAAATGACATGGTGGAGCATAAACTGGAATTTTGAAAGTTTTTGAACTCATGCCATTTAGTGCCCACTCCACTATTCCATACTACACTGTCTGCACTCCCACACATTGCATTCATTCCCCCACTAAAGCAATGCATGTACACACAAACACACTTCCGCCTCCGTACAATCTCTCCTTCCTTCCCTCTCCTTACCTTTCTTCCTTTCCCTCTTTGTCCCTCCTTTACCTTTTCTCTCTCTCTCTCTCCCTCTCTCTCTATCGCCTCCTTGTTTTACTCATTTTGCCCCTCTCTCCCTCCCTCCTTCTCTCCCTCTCTCTCTCTGGCAGTGGACAATGTTCAGTTGCTAGATGAGACAATTCAACATAATCTCTTGCTGGGCATGAGACCCAAGTCAACTCCCCACCACCAGAAATTTGACCCGGGGAAGGTCAGTCGGTCAGTCAGTCGGTCAACTATACATGTACATGTTCATCACCTTGGACACCAAACAGTTGTACCTCATGTGGATGTTGGAAGACAGCGATGTGTTCCGTTACACTTATAGTTATCCCAGGAGCTTCAGTGTCACTCATGAGCTTACTGTAATGTGTAATGAGTTATATGACAAGGAGAGAGAAGGGGGCCTTTCCCCTGCCTGAATCTGACATAAGGCGTCTACATAAAGCAGCGGTCGTTTGTGCACTGTCAAGTGCTTTACATATTATACTGTATATACAGTACCAGCATCTGTTTTGGAACTTTAGAGGTGGTGTAGCTGTGTTTATAGTGATCCAAGCCGTCCTATGCGAGCGTGATCTCTAACCATTAGGGCACCTTCAAGTGAAAATTGTTTCCGCTGTTTTGCTGTGGAGCTAACCAAAGTATGTATATACCCGTGTATTGTACAGTGTAGCTTTGCATGCTGTCGGGATAACTTACGTTCTGCGCTTAATTTCCACTAGCACGGACACACACAGACCGACTGCAATAACCCCCTCGCCTGCGCGCGCAGCGAGGGTATATACCCTTATTGCAGTCGGTCTGTGTGTGTCCGTGTCCCGTGTGTGTCCGTCTGTCCACCGTTTTTCTCGGTAACTGCGGCAACTCTGAGCGTGAAACGTGGACATATTATCAAGTAGGAGGCATGCATGGTAGGAGCGGAGAAGGCCGGGGAAGCTGGCGAAACGGACGGGCCGGCTGCCGAGAGTGTGCGTCAAATAGAGATCACAGCCGATCGCTGTACTTAGATGCTGGATGCTTTACGCATGTGGAGAAGATTTGCTGGTCTGCCTGTATTGATGGTGCATACCCAAATAAAAAAAGTGTGTACCCATATGAAACCTGGGTACCCAAATAAAAAAAGTGTGTACCCAAATGAAAACTGGGTGCCCAAATAAAAAAGTGTGTGTACCAGAATGAGAACTGGGTACCCTAATAAAAAAAGTGTGTACCCAAATAAAAAAGTGTGTACCCAAATAAAAAAAGTGTGTACCCAAAATTTAACGGACGTTGGTGTGCGTAATTTTGACACTAATCTCCCCCCATACAGCTTTGGGTGAGCTTTCTCTTCTAGTACTGTATGGTATATTGCAGTATTGCTGTGTTCATCGTCTCCCTTTCTCTCCATGTTAGCCAAATGGAAGCATTAGAGTGAAATTTGAACTGGGAGATGAGAAGAGGTATGTACATACAATCAATGTGTGCTGTATAGTACATACATTTCTTTTACCTGTCACTGAATGCTGTGTGTACATGTGTTGGTTAGTATTAGTTTTCACCATTAATAGACAAGCTTTAACTGTATATAGTGATGCACATCCACATTGTTTGCCTTGCCTTGCCTTGCCTTTCTACCTCTTTACCAAGTTGTTGAGACACGTACATATACGTTTAGCATGCATGCGCTCCTGGTAGCCTTTATAAACTCGTGATGCCAGAGAGAGAAGTTGCGGTATGCTCTGCTGATGAGGGCCAACAGCTGTGCAGAGCTCCAGAGCTCCACATCTTTTTTCTCTTGGCATCACCATGGTATAATTTCTTCATGTATATAAGTACCTTAATTTCCTTACTTATTGGGGCAGGGGAGTGTTCAGTTCTGTGGTTAACTAAACCAGTAGAGCAGTATCCATGGAGGTCTCGAAACAACTCTTTTCACAAGGAGCTGTATATACAAACAGACACACACATACAAAGCATGAACCCTCAGAAAGGAAGTGACATAATTTAATTAACATTCTGTGGTACAATTGGCGAGCATAGTCGTTTCAATGTGGGGATTTTTCTTTATTGAATGTTATGTGACGGACATTGTTTGACTGCCACTGCACATATATACCGTAATGTATATTCTGCATGATTCTAAATACACGCAAAACACACGCGAAATATTGATCTGCTCGCTATGCTATCCAATAATGCTGTTGAGTGGGTAGTCATAGTGTTCTATGGTACACAATGACTGTGGAATGCTGAAAATGTTAATTAAATTATGTCACTTCCTTTCTGAGAGTTCATGCTTTGTATGTGTGTGTCTGTTTGTACCCCTCCTTTTAACTCCTCACTTTCCTCCTCATTCTCCCTCCCACACCTCCTCCTCTCATCACCATCTCTATTCCTCAAACCCCCCTCCCACTCCCCCCTCCCCCATCACCCTCTCTCTTCCTCCTCTCCTCCTTCATCTCCCCCTCCCCCTCACCCTCCTCTCCCCTCCCCCTTCCTCCTGGTTTCTTCAACCTCTGTAACCCAGGGTGGTGTTACTGAGTCGGCCACTCACTCTAGAGTCAATGTCGGACCAGCTACAGTCCTGGTTCCCTGGCCACAGGTTCACCATGTATCACTACTTGTCTGATGTAAGCCTCTATTCCAGCTTGTCTGAATTATACATTTTTCATTTTCTGCCTATCGCTGTCACAGTGGCAGTGTACATACACATACAGTACACGTACAATGTATGTGTTGAACCTTCTACTGGTGTATATTGTACTGTCCCCGGCCCCTTCAAGAACGCTAAATTGCAGCGAAGCACCCGATAATGTGTTGTGTAGCTGACCGAGTTCCATAAGAACCAGGTACAATTTCCTGCGTAATAAAGTATGTACTTCATCTGAACATGCAATATGTACACACTTGCTTACTTTCGATTCCTAGTACGCCATTTCACGTAATCTTGTGTAACATTCTCTAATCACAGCACACAGGTGTACAGATGAAGATGTATAGTACATCTCAACCTCTGTGTTTTGTGCTGTTATTAGAGGAGTTGGACATGATCAAGTGAAAGTGCCAAGAATTCCAATTAGTATTATCAGGAATGTGGGCGGAATGTGCGACCCACTCGGCTTTAAGCATTAGTTCAACATCTGCTGTTATTTTTGCCTGGTTTGTTGTGCTAAAGTTAAAAGATATAAATCTTGCATATAAAAAGGATGGAAATGTACTTTTAACGAGTTACACCGCATGTGCTTGCTGTGTAATAATATTGTAAGTGATGCGAAACTTCTTAGTGATATACTCCTTCCTGTGCATAACGCTCTGTAATATACCCACTGGCAACGTCCAATAAATAGTTTTTGCGACCTTTTTCTCCTCTAAAGTTATATAGTGGAACCTCCAATAAGGGATCCTCTGAGATAGAGACGACCTCTCTACAAGGGACACTTGTTTCAACCCCATGCTAATACTTAGTGTATTATTTGACCCTCCGAGATAGGGACGACCTCTCTACAAGTGACAAAATAGTTGACCTCGTAGTGTCCCTTGTTCGGAGGTTCCACTGACAGTGTTAGTACAACTACACCATCACTATACTGTGCAGCAAAAGGGTCTGAAGCCCATGACATCTCAGTTAGACGTAGACCAGATCCTCAGCACACACGACTCCCTCCCCACCCTCCCACCGCCCTCAAGATTGTCCTCTACATGACAGCTTCCCCCACCCCCCCTCTCTCCCCTCCCCGCCTCTCCCCCTCCTCCTCCTCACCTCGTCTCGAGACTCCACCCTCCCCTCCTCTCACCCATCACCACCCTCACCACTCCACCGTGAGTCGCCTCATTCCAATGAAGGCTCCTTTAAAAGCCTGAGATAATTTACATATACACTGAACATTTGAGCCTCAGTTATCTGGGAAGCTTGGGACTAAGGGGTGCCTAAAAACACCCATACGTAAGTACATCTTAATGCAGTGTTGAGAAACTTTGAAACTTTGTCCAGCAGCATTAATCATGGGTTCCTAGCCTGTTTTCTATGTGTACCTCTGCTATACTCTCTTTTCCTCTTCACTCTTCACCTTTTGTGCTTGTTTCCACAGGTTCAGGATCCTCCGACCAAACCATTCCGGTGAGCGCTGACCTCGTGCATGTAATAGTTTAAGTTGTGGTCCATATTGTGTATCAATACATACGTGTTGTCTTTTGTGACCACTCCTTGTTGAACTGAAAGACGCTATCTCTCGGTGGCTTTAGGCACGGTCTGCATGCCTCGAGCATTCCTACAGTCAGTTTGTTCTTGTACGAGTGTATGTATATAGACATGTACATAATGTCCTTACATGGTAGTCCTGCCTCCACCATGAGTATGCAAACCCCCCCCCTCTCCCCCTCCCCCCAGTTTCCCCTCCGACCCCTACCCAGAAGGGTTTAGAGCCAGCCCAGACTTCAGATTGGACATGTTCTCCACCTACCACGGAGGAGGAGGTCTGGAGAGCCACCCCCGCTCCTCCTCCCCTCCCCCCTGGTTTGTCCGGGAGGGAGACATGGTCCCCCACACTCTCCACCAAGTCAGCGAACAGGTTACAATGACACATGCAGTATTATACATATGTATGCATGTATCAATAAATGTTTGCTATGAGGGTGAACTTTGGGCTGGTGGGAGTGGCAAGCATAGGCTGGCTCAGTGGGTCTGTTTTGCACGTGGCTGCCAGCCAGAACAGTCACAGAGGTACTACGCAAGCGTGGTTCTCTGTTTTATTTACCGCCAAACCATGTCGTTTTTTATTACAATTGCACGACAGCAGTGAAAGAGTTGTCCATATTTCTTACCGTCTATGCAGACAGGAACCAAATGAACACTGAAGGGCCAACATAGCTTTCGTCATAATTATGTACTGTAGCTGTTGAAGAATCAACACGCACTTGCTTTGCTTTCATATACGTACCTCACCATACAGTAATACAAAGAGCGTGTATAGATTCCTGTGACACTACCTGTACTGTACAATGTATGTATATACATTATATTCTTACACATGAGGTATGTACATAGTTTCCTTATGTTAGGGCAGTATACAACAGTCCATACATGGCTAAACATGTGTAGGATGGGTAGCCCGCATGCCGAACACATCCATACAAGGATGCATTATGTACGTACGTACAATGTGTACATATAGAGTACTTACATAATCTTCGTGGCATGTACATACATTGGTATACAGTATAATGTCAATAGGGGTTGGCGGAAGTTATACATGATAAATCATAGGATGTGTACACATACTGTACATATCTCACTGAAAGGACGTGAGTATTGTGTAATGGGATTTGGTGGTTGGGTAGAGAGAATTACACAAACTGAAAGAGAGTGGATGTTGTATCACACGCTCTTGTCAAGAAGAACATCGCAATATCAGGTGTAGGAAGTCAAGTGTCTCGCTTCAACACATGTATTCATGCAACGTTATGGGTGTTCATACCCACATTCTGTTGGGAATGACTTTGATGATGCATCAGTACTAGAGTAGGGGGGTGGATACTATAGAGCTTACTGACTGTACTACACATGTACTGGGCACATCATGTACTATGACCAGACCCATTCCAGTCTCGTTCCTAGACCCTCACGTGGTCCTGTGTGAACTGGTGTACAAAGGCCAAAATGTTTGGTTATGCTGAGTCAGCAAGTGTACCGAAATTGCGTAACACGGCGCAATAGTCATGTGTTTGCTTCTCGATCGTTGCTAAACGTGTGCCCAGAGAGAACACTACCTTTATGTCGCACAAACCTAGCAATCTGATTGGGTTACCCGTTTTCCAAACATGCTGACTCAGGACGACCAAGAAATTCGACGTTATATACCAGACCCTGTTTCGTGCGGGAGCATGTGAGGGTCTGGACACACGACTACACCACACCCATTGTGTCCCTGTGTGTCGGTGTGTGTTATTCAGGACAGAGGAGAAGGGGTGTTCATACCAGAAGAAGATGTAGCCGATGATGATGAACAGGTATTGTACACATACAGAAACATGAATATTTTATTGAGTATTATCTGAGTTCACCCACGCTGCGTCCCACTGCCAAGAGATGACCTTGTGCACAAGAAAGCATTCCGCAGTGCTTTGCCAGTCTTTGACACGGTAGTTGAACTCATTACACTAATTTACTCGGAGTTGAGTATCTGATTTGTAAGAGCTAGGCAATAATTCTTCTGGTACACATACACTTATAATTATTAGGTTTGAGTAAGCACACTTTTTCAACATTCGTTGAGTCCCGGGATGGTGAATGCAACAAAATGTGGGAAACGCTGTCGAAGGCAACTCGTTTTACACAATTTTAATGATTAATGATGTTTTAGTTATCCTCGTGGGGTAGGATGTTCCCTCACCATTTGGGGCCCATCGAAAACCAGACTCTCACACAATAATGAGGTGTGGGGAAATTGTAACTGGCCTTGGAATGTGTAGATTACTCCATTGAATCAGTATTGGGTGGTTGGAAACTTGAAGCAGAAAGCAATTTCGATGTTAAACAGCCATCTGTTGGTGTTTTTCAAGTGGGGGTGTTTTGGGCAAATAAAGTAGCAAACAGTCAACAATAGAAAGAGGGACTGAGTGTTGTGTTGATTTGCAGGACCCGCCAAGTCCAGGTGCTGTGTCGAACCGCTCCATTCCCTCCACGCCGTCTGAGTTCACCTTCAACTCCAGGTCTCCAGCTGAGAGCTTGAGGTGGATACATACACCCCTCCCTCCATCCCTTCTCTCCCTCTCTTTCGTCCCTCTCATCTTCCCCCCTCTCTCATCCACATCATCCTCCCTTCCTCTAGTTCTCCCCTGTCCCCTACTCTCTACTCTCTCTCTCTCTCTCTCCCTCTCTCTATTGCCATATCTTTTCCTCTCGTCTCTCTCCTACTTCCCTTGTCTCTCTTCTTTACTGTCCATGATGCTGGACACTTGTTTTATTTGTATAGGATAGTCATCTTGATAAGTGGTTTATTACAAGTGAATAAACTTCTCCTCCCCTGCTACGCCTCTTCGCTTCTACTCTCTTTTGTATGTACGGTTATGAATTTTGCTACATGTGTATACTGTATACTCTCATGTTGTGTCCTATACCCACAGTGAGCTGGCAAGAAACGGACCACACCATCCCCTGGAAGAAGGTGAAGTCCACTGCAGTGGTTAATTCAGGGATCTTGAGTAGTGGCATACACCACGGGTTTCGCGGGGTATAGTACATGTCAGCAGGGGAGGGAAGGCAAATGCCCCTTATCCCTACTACTGTCGCAAGACATCAGTAGAATGCATTCTACCACAGAAGGTCTGGGGCTATGGACTTGTTGGTTTCAAGGTCACCAAGTCCAAAGCTATAGCTACAGCATGTACATGAGTCTGACACAGGCTAGCTACAGTAGTAGATGGCATGCTGGAGTCGATACACACCCTTCTTGTGCCTCCAAGATACACAGAGCAAGCGGACCCGGTCGAGGTAAACCTGTGCTAATTAGCATATTGGCTTTTTCGCTAGTGCTCATGCCATAACTCCCGAACATGGCAGTTTAGGAAGAAAACCCCACATCCTTTATCCGACGCTCAATACGTGGTATTGTTTGTGGAGCGATAGGATCGCTCGTGAAGTGAGATATCGAGTAATGGACTGACAGACAGACAGATGCACATGACAACTGCAGTAACCGTCGCTGCGCATGTGTGCCGAGGTTTAACTATGGGAGAACACATGGCACTATTATTTACATATATATCTGTTGGGGTTTGCAATTGAGTGCTCCCTCATCTCCCCAGATGTGGATCCTCTAGATCACCCTGGAAACCTGACCTTTCCCCGGGACAGAGACCCTCGCAGCAGCACTACCTCTCACACCCAGCCTTGTGAGTTGGGGGGTGGGGTGGAGGGAGGGGGAGAAGTAGTCCCTGTATATCTTAGCATTCAAGGCTATAAGAAGGCTTTTTTAATCAGCAAGAATTATTGTGCTGAATTGTACGTATTTATCTGAGAGAAAGCCTCCTGGGTGTTTCCGTCTTGTAATGTATGTCTATATATCCTGGAGACAGGGCTCATGTGGTGACTAACAGCTCTACTAATGCTGGCGCCACGAAAAACACACTTCTTCACAAAGTTCATTAATTGAGGCACTCTAACATAACAAAATGGGCATTGCAATTTTTTTCCACATCAATATTTACATTCATGTTCTCCCTCTCCCGTCTTTGACCCCTCCCGTCCCTTGCCTCTCTCCTGTCTGCCCTCTCTCTCACTCCTCTCTCTCTCTCTCTCCTCTCCCCTCTCCTCTCCTTCCCTTCCCCTTCCCCTCCCTACCTCTTCCCCTACCTCCTCCCTCTCCCTCCTCCTTCCTTCTCTCTGCCCTCCCCCCTCCCTCTTCCTCCCTTCCTCCCTCCTCCTCCTTCCTCCTCTCCTCCCTCCCCCCTCCCTCCTCCTTTCCTCCCCTCCTCTCCCCTCCCCCCACCAACAGTATACCGTACGTTCCCACTGAAGGAGTTGACTGGAGGAGGTGCAATGCGGGGTCAGCCGGGTGGGCGTGGCTCACAGTTGCTCCGCCCATCACCACACCCCCACCCTCCCATTAGACCCTCGGACAGTGAACTGGCTCTCCAGAAACTTGACTCACTAGAAGTCTCTAATAAAGGTATTTCACGCATTCTACTGTGTTTCACATTGTAAAAAAGATCTGCACTTTTTGCATACGTTATTGTTGAGCAAAGCGGGGTTTTTCCTTGGAAACGTACATCGAGTGGTAGCTAGTTTCTAGCTCTGCTTTCGAAAGCTTTTTTGCTTGAATTTGTTATCTTCTGCTACTTCTGTTGGTGTTTGGAGGGAGAGGAATCTACCAGCTACCGTTATCTACTACTCTTGGAGGTCTTCGGCAGCCTATTTTCAAACTGCGGCGCGAATTCCAATTAATGCCCACCAATGACGCTTCGGTGAATACAGCTCCCCGGACTAAATCTGCTCAAGACTGGGTCGTGAGTTGCAATAAACGGGCTAGGGCGAATATCATTTTGTGGTGAATGCCTAAAAGCTTGTCAACGCTGGAAATACGGGCGAATCTCGCGGATATAGGATTAGTCGGTTTCTCTAGGGGAAGCGTTGCTTGTGAGGGCGATCACGTCAGGTTAGTGTTACTGCATAAGGATGGTAAGGGCCTTTGTAAGGCGGTTGTCGCGCAAATTTCAGCCTGTCTTCGGAAGATTGGCGTGTTAGATGAAACTTGCCCTGTTAGAGAGGCTGTACACGTTGGCGTTCAGTGTGTTAATAGGTTTTCTCAGCTAGCTGATAGTGTGGATGAGTGTGCAGCATGTGTGCCTGAAGGCAGTGAAGTGAATCTTTCAGTTGTTAGTGAGAGGATGAGTGGCCAAGGTGAAAAGGACAGAAGGTTAAGAGTCGCTACATGGAATTTTTCAGGCCTTTGTAGTGAGCGTAAACAGAGAGAGGTAGGGGAGCTTTTGCAAAGGCTCAAGATGGATGTAGTAGCTGGTCAGGAATCTTGGGAGAGGGAGGGAAAGGCAGTTGCGGTTGATGGCTATAGATGGTTTGGAAAGCCTCGTGAGAATCAGAGTAGTCGTAGAGGGGAAGGAGGGGTTGGGTTCTTGGTTCGGGAGTGCTTGATAGACGAGGTAGAGTTTGTAAGTAAAGTCAGGTATAAGGAGAGCGTGTGGATGAAGGTTCGAGGTGGGAGAGGGAGGGAAGCATTGTATGTGTGTTGCATTTACATGCCTACAGATAATGCTTGTGCTTCTGTTATGGAGGATAGTTACGTCAAGTTTAAGGAGGATGTGCTTGGATTCATGCAGAAGGGGAGGGTTGTTCTTCTTGGTGATTTTAATGCGAGGGTGGGTAGATCTACTGATGTTGATGATGTCATTGGGATGTTTGGGGAGGAGACTTGTAATGCCAGTGGAAATAGGCTGATTTTTCATTCTTGAATGAGGTGGAGCTGGTGATATGTAATGGTAGGAAGTTAGTGTCGGAGCCTGAGTGGACTAGAGTAAGGCCGAGCCTGCAGCAGAAATCAGTGATAGATTATATAGTTACGGATATGCAGTTGATGAGGGAATCTGGTGATGTACAGGTTAATATAACTGATATTGGTGCCTCGGATCATTTTCTAGTGTGGCTGGAGTTGGGCCGGGTTACGAACTGTTGTAAAAGGCAGAAGCGGAGAATAAGGACGTGGCGTGTAGACAGATTTTTGGATGAGGGGGTTAGAGCGAAGTATAGGGAGGCCTTGAAAGCGGAGGTTGAATCTTTTTCAGAGAGCATCAGGGAGAAAGTGAGTGAGGGTATTAGTGGAAGTCGGTTAGTCAGTGCAGTTGTAGAGGAGTGGGGGCAAGTTGTAAAAAAAATGGCAAAGGCTGAGGTAGGAGAGAAGGTAGTAGTGTGTGGCAGGGCAGTCAGGTGGTGGGATGACGAGATTAAGCAGAAGATAGAGCAGAGAAGGGAGGCTTACAAGAAAATTCTTGAGGGTCAGGATTATCTATGGGAGGAATATAGTAAACTGCGTAGGGAGGTGAAGAATTTAGTTGTTCAGAAGAAGCTTGAGGTTTGGAAGAGGTAGTGGAAAGAGCAAATTTAGATTTTGAAGGTAATAGGAAAGAATTTTGGGCATTTGTTGGTAGAAGGACAAAGGGTAAGAGGAGGGGGATTACAGCTTTGAGGAATAGTGCTGGGGTGTCAGTGACTAGTACAAAGGGCAAGTAGGAGGTGTTAAAGAGGCATTATCAGCAGTTGGGCACTTGTAGTGTTGATACAGCCTTTGATGATAGTTGGAAAGAGGAAGTGGATAAGAACGTGTGTGAGTTTCCAACAGATTGTGTGGAAAATGTATTGGATAGGGAAATAGATTTGGAGGAGATTGCAGTGTGTGTTAGAAAGTTGAAGAATAATAAGACTGGTGGTAGTGATGGGCTTGTGGGGGAGCTTCTAAAGTATGGTGGGTCAGGGATGGTAGAGTTACTTAAACAGTTGTTTACAGTAATTTGGCGTGAGGAGTTTGTGTCACCACAGTGGAGGGATTTGGAGTAAGAGGGAAGATGTGGAGGGTCATAAAGAAGATGTACGAGTATTCAAAGAGTGCTGTATTGTTGGATGGGGAACGGTCAGAGGCATTTGATGTGGAACAGGGGTAGCTCAGGGATGTAGCTTATCTCCAATTTTGTTTTCCGTATTTATCAATGGGTTGTTGAGGGAGGTGGACGAAGCTGAGATTGGGATCGATTTAAGTAGTGGTGGGAGACTTGGAGGACTTTTGTTTGCAGATGACTTCGTTGGTGTTAGTGAGTCTAAGGATCAGTTACAGCCGCTTATAGATGTGGTGCATGCCTACTGTCGAAAATGGAGGCTAAAGGCTGATGTGAGTAAGAGTGCAGTGATGGTGTTCGCTAGGGAGTCAGTGGATGGTGCTTGGAAATGGGGGGAGTATGTTTTGCCTAGAGTATCTAAATACACATACTTGGGTGTTGATTTTACTAGTACTGGTGCATGGGATGTGCATATCAAGAATGTGTTAGACAATGGTAGAAGGAAGGTTAATCAGCTGCATAGTGTAATTAGTAATAGGGATATTAATTTGAGTGCTCGCAGGTTGTTGTTGCTGGCGGTGGTTAGGCCAACTTTAGAGTATGGGGGTGAGGTGTGGGAAGCCAATAAGACTCAGGCAGCTGCATTAGAGTCCGTTATGCTGGGAGGAGCTAAGCGCATTCTTGGGTGTTCGTCTAAGACATGTAATGAAGCCGTTAGGGGGATATGGGGCTTGATACGTTACAAGGGCGTAGGGATAAGAATAAGTTGAAGTGGTGGTATAAGTTAGCGGCATTGCCAGGCAATAGGTATCCGAAGAAGCTTTTTAACCAGGAATGGAATTTTAAGCCACGGAGAGGCAGGCAGAGGAAGGGTTGGAGTAAGGTCATTGATGATCTCTTTTCGTCATTAGGTCTTGACAAGGCAGAGTGGTTGCATGATATTCAAAATGGGGATTGCTCCTTGAAGGGCTTTCTGTCTATAATAGGGGACAGTATTAATGAGAGGGAGATTAGAAGGTTTGAAGAGGGGCTAAATAGCAAAGTAAAGCTGTTATTGTATAAGACATTTAACAAGGTGGTAGAGTTCAAAAAGTACTTGCATGGGAAAAGTGATGCTGGGTCTAGATTAATGTTTAAGTTCAGGTCAGGCACGCATGGGCTAAATGAGGAACTGGGTAGGCATAGGGGGAGGGAGGGGGTGAAGGAGTGCCTGTTGTGTGATGATGAGTGTGAAAGTGTGAGTCATGTGTTGTGGGAGTGTCCAGCATATAGTACTCTTAGGAGCAATTTCTTAAGTTGCCCTGCAGCCGCAGGGGAAGCTTGGGGATGATGGGTTTGAGCATTTCCAGTCGCTTGATAGTTTCAGGAAAGCATCCTTTATATTGGGTAGTGAACTGTGGGAGGATAAATTTGGTTCTTTGCTTGGCCTTGTTAAAGATTTTATTTTGGATGTTTGGGAGCTAAGAAAGGTTAGGTTATACGGCGATAGTCCCCGCGTACAACAAACCCAGTCTCAGATTGCGTCTGGGGAGCTGCAGGGTGTCGCTGGTAGAAGGGGTGAGTTGAGGTGTCTGGGAGGTGAGACAGACACCTCATGTTCATGTGGTGTATGTTCGTTTGTTAACGGTTCCGCCCATTGCTCTGGGTGCGTGGTCTATGGCCCTAGTGCTATGGCAGCCACCTGAGTATTATTATTGTTGAGCAAAGCGAGCCTACCAAGTCATCTGAATGCGGTGAACGGACCGACATCAGTAATGTAAAATACACTGCCTGGTTTGTTATGTCTCTGCACCTGCCCCCCTTGTACTTCTCGTTCTAGGGCCAAAACTATAGGGTTTACCCCATGCATTGACAGTGTTGGTATGAAAAGGTTCCCAGACACACCGACTGGGGAAGTTGGCATGCCACTATCGTTGCGTAGGGGCTCCACAATCAATGTCCACTGTGTATGTTGTACATTGTAGAGACCATGGGATGTTTTTGTGGAATCGATATCCCTGTTCTATGCGAGTTGTACAAGTTATGCTGGTAGCTGTATAGTTACAGTAAGCACTAAATGCAATCCCACATTGAACTAAATTTGTCCCTGGGTTTTTTATGCAACATCAGAGATCGTGTTGGATACAACTGGTTACTGCTTTCCATCCTTCCTCTTTCCTTCTGTCACTCCTTCTTCACCTCCCTTCCTTCCTCCCTCCTTGTCTCTCTTGTTCCTCCCTCCCTCTACCTCCCCTCTCTCCCTCTCTTCCCTCTTCCCTCCCCTCTTTCCTCTCTTCCCCTCTCTATCTCTCCATCCCTCCACCTCTGCCACTCCCGTCCAGTGTGTGCTCCAAAGAACTGGGTGAAAGGGAAGCTACTTGGCTGTGGAGCATTTGGACAGGTACACTATACTATTATTTTGAGACCCCTATAATTATGTAGCTTATGTTGCTTTGTTGGTAAGTATATAGAACCAAACAAATTGCAGTCACTTGCATATGTTGCATATCTATCTTGCATATAAAATGTACAGTGCTGCCTCATGTTAGCCTACACTTTAACTATGGGGATTTTCAGATTTTTAAGTGTTTCAGCATGCCTGCAACAGCTTGCTCTATTTGATATCTAGAGCCATTCATATGTATGTAGTGTACCTGTACCCATGTCATGTTTCCTATACACACAGTCGATTTTGTAATGTACTGCACATGTGTGGAATGGTAACCTTTCATAATGCTGGACCATGCTCTGCAACAGTGTGTCTGAGTGTGTGACTACATAGGATTGTGAAAATGCGAGTACCTGTAGTGGTAGACTGCGTACATTTCCCTTTTGGGGATGTGAGATTCAGTGGCCGCATTTCTGCTGTGAAGTAGGGATTCTCATGTTAATGCTAGACCATGGGTAGACACTCTGCAACAGTGTGTCTGTGTGTGTGACTACATAGGATTGTGAAAATGCGAGTACCTGTGGTAGACTGCGTACATTTCCCTTTTGGGGATGTGAGATTCAGTGGCCGCATTTCTGCTGTGAAGTAGGGATTCTCATGTTAATGCTAGACCATGGGTAGACACTCTGCAACAGTGTGTCTGTGTGTGTGACTACATAGGATTGTGAAAATGCGAGTACCTGTGGTAGACTGCGTACATTTCCCTTTTGGGGATGTGAGATTCAGTGGCCTCATTTCTGCAGTGAAGTGGGGATTCTCATGTTACACAACACAGAGGTGTATGTAGAGTAGGAGGCAGACACCATATCGGGACTCTGTTGCCAGTATTGGCAATCCTGTAACTTCTGAATCCATGGGGAAGGTATTTTCAGGATGCACAGATAGACTCTATTTACATTTCTACAGAATCCGTCGCTGCATTTCCTCCAAATACTGTATCTTCCTGTCTTTCCCTACACTCTGTGCTAACCCAACCTCCCCCTCCCTTTCCCTGCTCACTTTATCTCATTCTTTCTCCTCCTTCCAATCTTTCTTCTCCTTCATTCTCTCCTCTTTTTCCTCCTTGTTCCATCTCTCTCCCCCTCTCTCCCTCTCTCCTTCCTTCTCCTCCTCCCCCTCTCCCTCCTCCTCCCCCCTCCTAAGGTGTTTATATGTCATGACTCTGACACTGGTATGGAGATGGCAGTAAAGGTCATAGATATCAACCATATTGACCATCGACCGCACAACATGGAGGCCCGACGCATGCAGACTGTAAGTAAACATGGGGTCCTTATTTCAGTTCTACTGCACTGGGAGCTGGTATGGAGTTTCATGTTCCATGTTGCAAAATGCTGAGTCACAAAAATTCTTTGTTACTTCATTTAAGACAAAGTTTTGAGTCACACATTTCGTTCAAGGTTACCCAATGCATGTACAGTAGTGGTACATATGTCGCAAGAGAAACATGTTATAAACATGGGTTACGAGCTACAGGAACAATGGATAATGCTGACCAGCAGATTCCGTGACTCAAAACAGTATCTAAATACACATTCTTGGGTGTTGATTTTACTAGTACTGGTGCATGGGATGTGCATATCAAGAATGTGTTAGACAATGGTAGAAGGAAGGTTAATCAGTTGCATAGTGTAATTAGTAATAGGGATATTAATTTGAGTGCTCGCAGGTTGTTGTTGCTGGCGGTGGTTAGGCCAACTTTAGAGTATGGGGGTGAGGTGTGGGAAGCCAATAAGACTCAGGCAGCTGCATTAGAGTCCGTTATGCTGGGAGGAGCTAAGCGCATTCTTGGGTGTTCGTCTAAGACATGTAATGAAGCCGTTAGGGGGGATATGGGGCTTGATACGTTACAAGGGCGTAGGGATAAGAATAAGTTGAAGTGGTGGTATAAGTTAGCGACATTGCCAGGCAATAGGTATCCGAAGAAGCTTTTTAAGCAGGAATGGAATTTTAAGCCACGGAGAGGCAGGCAGAGGAAGGGTTGGAGTAAGGTCATTGATGATCTCTTTTCGTCATTAGGTCTTGACAAGGCAGAGTGGTTGCATGATATTCAAAATGGGGATTGCTCCTTGAAGGGCTTTTTGTCTATAATAGGGGACAGTATTAATGAGAGGGAGATTAGAAAGTTTGAAATAGCAAAGTAAAGCTGTTATTGTATAAGGTGGTAGAGTTCAAAAAGTACTTGCATGGGAAAAGTGATGCTGGGTCTAGATTAATGTTTAAGTTCAGGTCAGGCACGCATGGGCTAAATGAGGAACTGGGCAGGCATAGGGGGAGGGAGGGGGTGAAAGAGTGCCTGTTGTGTGATGATGAGTGTGAAAGTGTGAGTCATGTGTTGTGGGAGTGTCCAGCATATAGTAGTCTTAGGAGCAATTTCTTAGTTGCCCTGCAGGGGAAGCTTGGGGATGATGAGTTTGAGCATTTCCAGTCGCTTGATAGTTTCAGGAAAGCATCCTTTATATTGGGTAGTGAACTGTGGGAGGATAATTTTGGTTCTTTGCTTGGCCTTGTTAAAGATTGTATTTTGGATGTTTGGGAGCTAAGAAAGGTTAGGTTATACGGCGATAGTCCCCACGTACAACAAACCCAGTCTCAGATTGCGTCTGGGGAGCTGCAGGGTGTCGCTGGTGGAAGGGGTGAGTTAAGGTGTCTGAGAGGTGAGACAGACACCTCATGTTCATATGGTGTATGTTCGTGTGTTAACGGTTCCGCCCATTGCTCTGGGTGCGTGGTCTATGGCCCTAGTGCTATGGCAGCCACCTGAGTATTATTATTATTTAGTGCATTATCAATGTGCACGCATAATAATCTCCAAAGCAACAGTTCAAACTTACACTAAAAAGCTCACACTGTTACATTATGAAAAGAGAGCATGATAGCCACTAGTGGTGGGTGTGCTGTAATGACGTGTACATATTATATGCACATGTGTTGCTATAATAATGTTGTAGGAGGTGAGGTCATTTGAGACCGAGCTACAACTGCTCAAGAACCTTCGTCACGAGAGAATCGTCACTTACTATGGCACCGACAGGGTAGATGGCAAACTCTATATCTTCATGGAGTGCATGCCAGGGGTAAGCCACTCCCAAATATTTCCCCTAACTATTGGATCATTCTTGTTCAAATTCACGTTATTATTATTGTCACAAACACACACATGTGACACCTTCGAAGCAGTTATGCACATATTATGTGTACATACGTACATAGGCCTCCTTCCATAAGTTTGTATTGAAGGTGTAGCTTCGTCCTTAAGGTTTTGAAACAGGGCATTAATGGCACGTGAGATCTGGGAAGTGCTGATGAGTGGAAGTGCTTGAACCACGTGTTTGCCTATTTTGCGCACCGTTGAGGCAATAAAACATATAAAGAGAATTATGTGGTTATAGTCTAGCGGCATGCCTCAAATGCTGTGTGAAAGCGGTTTTAGCAACATTCCATGTAACTGGACTTTGTGACATTACCCACCATTTTTCAGTACCCCTTCCACTAAATATAAGTTACTGTGTGTCCATAGTAAGTAGTATATACATGTGTTGTTCAAGGAAAGTTTTGCACTTCAGTTGTTTTCTTCTGCTCCCACTTTGCACTTCAGTTGTTTTCTTCTGTTCCCACTGTACATAGGGCTCAGTGTACCAGCATCTGAGAGACATTGGACCGCTGAACGAGATACTCGCACGGAAATACACCCGTCAGATCCTGGAGGGTGTGGCCTATCTCCACGACAACCGGATAGTGCACAGGGACGTCAAAGGTGCCAATATTCTGCGAGACTCCTTTGGGAACATCAAGTTGGCAGACTTTGGAGCCTCGAAACGCCTCCAGGTACTGTCAACATGTATATACAACTGACTACTCCTCATGTGAGATTACTAGATGTTAATTAATAGGCCCCTCACCAACGGCAAGGTAATGAAACAGTGGCTCTTTCCAGCCACAACCAGCTTGTCCCATAATGTACCTCTTTCATGGCTCAATATTTTGCGCATGTTTTGCGCGTAGTTAGAATCACATAAAACGTTACGGTAGTGACAGCGGCCGACCAACATGAGTCCCCTAACTTGAAATCAGGTAATCTTGTTTTCCTCAGTTTTTTTACGCGTGTGTCAATGGAATATGTACAGTGCTCCGAGACTGTAAATTGCTTATGAAGATGCTTTGTTAACCCTCGGGAGCCCATCAATTGGCGGTACTGCACATGCGCAATTCGCCGAGGGTTTGCACTTTAGTACTTTTCATTTCGCTGTCAAGTCTGACTTCTCTATTTTTTGCGTGTATTCTAATGGACTATATAATAATTATACCCCCTGACATATACAATATTATGTACACATTGTTTATGCTTTGTTGTGTTTAGCTGTAACGTCAATGTTTTCTCTCTGGTTGCTGTTTCCCCCCTGTGTGTCCCCACAGACTATTCGCAGTGGTCGGAGTGGGTTGAAGTCAGTCCAGGGCACCCCCTACTGGATGGCCCCTGAGGTTATCAAGGGAGAGGCCTACACAGACAGGGCAGACATATGGTCAGTCTTTAACCAAGGAATAGGGCAGTACGTTGTACATAAACAAAGAGGAATAATGTATGTACATGTAACAGTATGACCCAGTGTGAGAATGCAACAGTTTCCGTTTTTCAGTAAGAGTTTGTAAACTTTACCCTGCTACTAAAAACTTCCACATTTTCTTTATTCTCTCATCTTTATTCTACACTCAATTTATGTAGCCAATACCTGCTGTATTTAGACTACAGAGCTTCATACACAGTCTGCGATGCACCATACCTACATACATAGGCTACACATACATACATGTATGTTGTACATGTACACATTAGAAGTGATAGGAGCGTGACGTAGATTGCGCAATGGCACTTATGTATGCAGTTTTGATGAGCCAAGCTGGTTGCGGCATTGACAATGTATGGCAGAAACAAAACTAAAGTAAAACAAGTATCGGGCTCGTGGAACAGTAGGAGTATGTAGGTCTAATGGATGAACAAGATACTGAGAAAGCCAGTCATTTCCAGTTCTACTCCTGGTTACCCAGCGAGTTACAGCCTCGAGTACTAGTACTAGTTATACACATGTTGTGCGTATAACTGAGCTGTAAGACTACTGTAGCTTTTTCCACAAACCTGCAAGATTACAAGTGCTCCAACTTTAGGGCTACTAATTAAACTTTTACACCTCAGCAACAATGACCAAAGATTTGTCAAGCGACCACACATTTGTAGTGCAACTGGCTCAGGTGTTAAGCTATACATAGCTGGGTTCACTCACCAACTCTTCCATCCTGAGAATGAATATAAGTGAAGAGGCGCAACACGCAGCAAAAAAACTGTGATCTAGCAAGTTTACTTCGAAATCACAAACAACCCTTATCTGTAGACATTTGGCCACTCTTCTTGTTGTGTTGTTGTGATTTCATGAATTAACATTCTCATCGTCCTTATCGCCACACATTTCCCCACTGTCTCCCTATATCCTTTGTCCCTTCTCTCTCTCTCCTCCCTTCTCTCCCTTTCTTCACCCCCTCTCCCCTCCCCCTCCCCCTCCCCTCCCCCCTCTCTATACAGGAGCGTGGGTGCCACAGTGGTTGAAATGCTCCAGTCCCATCCTCCCTGGTACGACTTTGAGCCCACGGCGGCCATGTTCAAGATAGTCATGGAGGACACTGTCCCCAACCTCCCCGCCCACTGCTCTGAGCATGCCACTCACTTCCTCACCAAGTGTTTCATCAAGTGAGCCAACGGCACCTCCCGATTACCTCACATTATGTAACTGTTTGAACGGCTCTTTGGAATCTTTGACCAAAGTTTTAAACCCACCGATAAGCATTGTCTTGTCAAAATCGTGTGCGATATTGTGGGTGGATGTTCCATTAAACAAGCACTTCTGTTTCATTCACAAACGTTACCAAAATCTCTTTTCCTGGTGATTATCCACGGTAGACTCCTTAGTTTATGAAAATGTTATACACTGTCTACATATACATGAGATGCAACTTTTAAGGGGGCAAGTCTCCCGCGTGCGCATAGGGACACTTTCCCCCTCTCTCCGTATCTCCTTCGTGTGTGCATTATACATAATTACATAATTACACTGTATGTAGGTTTTGTACACGTGATATACAGTCTTGGAGGTTTTCCATTATTCATAGATTAGAGCTATATGTTCCCCATATCTCGTGGTACTAGTAGTCACAGGCACAAGGATGTGCAGTTAGCCCATTTTTGATGTTGTCCACTCTTCATACTTGGGATTCCGGGGTATTCCTGTACATTTTGCACTGATAGCTACGATGCCAAGGGTTGATAGAGTGCGCCTCTTCCGTGGGATGATTCTGGCCAGCCAGCCATCCCAAATTAGATTACCGTTATCTCTGTCTGTACTGTGGGCTCATGGTGTAACTACATTCACTGGAAAATTCCACACGGGCCCTGTAATTCCTGCAAGTGATTTGTATTTGGTTCCTGAAAACCAACGTCATCATTTGTCTTCCAAGAGAATTGATGCGTCTTTCGGTTCGCTAGGCCAAGGTTCCTTGCCAGGGCCCGAGGAACTTGGTGTTTCGTCATTGTATGTCTAGTGTTGCAGCAACCCTGGCACAGACCAGTGATGTGCAATTCTCTGACATCACTGAGTTGTGATAGGTCCAGATGCAATTTACCCAGCCAGACCACACTCTATTACTACTCTGTCATGTGTACCCATCAACACACGTGTATATACAATATTATACCTGTGGAACATTATGCAAGTGACTGCCAATTTGTCTGGTTCTACTACCAACGAAGCAACTACTACATAATTATAGAGGTCTCCTCATAATAATGGTATAGTATAGCCACGTAGCATCAAAGCTGGCTGTTGATCTGATCTGGCAAAGTTGCTATCAGCTTTGCATGCCACCTCTTGCACGAGTTTAACCCGCGTTCAATGCAAAGTGCTCTAGTCATTATGTAAGAGGGGCGAACCCTGTTTACTGCCTATTATGCAAGTTTCTGACGTGATAATGAAGTGATTAACATGCCCACTGTGTGGTTGGTTGATGGTCGGTTTGGGTTAGCAGAATACTGACGCAAGCTCTTTTCAGGTTTTGTTTTGATTTCTCCAAATGTCAGGTTCGTTTTTTCTGAGTGCTTGTGATCTCCCCACCATCTACAATCAAGGGTATTTTAGATCCCTGGGGAAAACAGTCTTGTTTACCAGGGATAATGAGACACATTGCGCTAGAATAGTTTTTCGTCAAAGTGCGCTGCATCACAGCGACGTTACACGTGTATTGCAATGCTTCTTACAGCCTGTCCTGTCGTCATAATTACACATTTGAAAAACACTTGCACTCTCTCTCTCTGCTGTTACACTACACAGGCTGCTCTCATTCTTAACTGAACGTGTCACACTTCTCGTTATTGCAGGGACAAGTCCCAGAGGCCCTCTGCTAGAGAACTACTGGAAACACCATTTGTAAACACATGACATCATCACGATTTCTTCAGCAGCAGTGTCACCCTGTCATTTCTATGTGTGTGTATTAATGTGCTGTGTGTTCTTCCTATTGTGTACTGCACTGCTTCCGCCGCGTGTGACACTCTCTCCTCTGCTCTCTCATTGTGTGAATGTGTTGGTATGTGTATGTTCACATTAATGGCTTTGTTCCATCGTCACCTTTTGACACTGTAACTGGTACCGTGTTCACTGCCTGTGTATGCTAGATTTGTATATATTATAACTGGTTTTTAAATTGGATATCTGCGTGGCAAGGAACACCGCACGCTGCTGGCTGCGTGGCTGAGACTGACTGAAACGAAAAATGGAGAAACCTTCACTACTATAATGTCATTTTGTAATGTGAAAGCAGGACTATTGTATGTGTGTGCAGGATTCCCAAGAAGGATAGTGGGTGATAGGGAAGCCACCTGGCGTCACTGTGGGGCTCCACAGTTTACATGCACCCCTATAGCTGTATCGGACGCTAACTCGAAAGACTCTTATCTGTTCGTGGGTGGAATGGGCACAGTGTGTGTATGTACTGCAGAGTGTGTGTGTGTGCGTGCACCTGTTGTGTGTGACCTCTGTGGCTCTGTCATGTATATATGTGATCACGTGAAATTCTGTGCACATCTGTCGCAAGCCTTACAACTCGCTCCCCATCAAAGCAGCCCACAGCTCGGGCACTATGTCAATAATTTATTGTTGGAATAGCCTCAACAACTTCGAGAAACGAGCTTTCTAAATGAGGGACAATTATATGAATAGTCACAGCAATTGTAATATCTGTCTGGTTTATATAGTTCTATGACAGTGACAATGTGAGAGAGTGAAGATGTTGCCTATACTGATGTGAATTGTGTGAGGGGAGATTGGAACATGACCAGTGCCAAGTTGGTGCGGTCTCGAGCTCTTAGCTGCTCAAACAGTCCACACAGCACTTCCCAGGCTTCCTCAGTGTCCTCAGGTGTGGTTCGCAGTTGGGTTCGGGGCAGACGACCCCCTCGCAGGGGTCCCTGCAGATTGGACAGCACTGCCAGCTGGGCCACATGATGCCCACCGAGCCACACTTGGGGATGTCGCAGATGACGTCTCGACATTCATTGCTCGTGGGTGACTGAGCGGTGACTGCAGTGATAGGGGTGGTGGGAGGGGATATGGTGTGAATAGAAGATGGTAAACATTGAGGAAAACTTCCCCGGCCTGGTGTAGGCCATAATATTTTAACCATCAGAGAGTGCAAATGGTGCATTACACAGTGGAACCTCCGAACAAGGGACGCTATTGGACCAATGATTTTGTCCCTTGTAGAGAGGTCGTCCCTATATAATTATCTCGGAGGTCAAGCAATACACTAAAGTATTAGCATGGGGTTGAAGCAAGTGTCCTTTGTGGAGAGGTCGTCCCTATCTCGGACGTTCCCTTATCAGAGGTTACACTGTACATAGATGGAGGCATAATTTACTCATAATTATGTATATATTACATGATGGATGCAGGATTTACTCAGTCTGATAACTCTAGGAACTGATGACATGTTGTAGTAGCATCCATCCAACCACTGACACTTATCCTAGATCCTATAAAGAGGTATCTACAATCTTTGGTTGCTACCCTTGACCTTAATCATTGCAGGAAGAACTATACTATATACACAACTGCTGTATGTGATGTCACTCACCTCTGGTGTTTGCAAATAGACAACCAAGCAGGATGGTTGCTGAGACTAGCAGGACGACTGCAGAATTATGCATCTCGCACTCGCAGTGTGCTTTTCGATTCGGTGGCTTTGTACACGAACTCGAGGAACTGGTCGAAATAATGCCAGAGCCACTGTTGTGTCTGCCTTTTATACCAAGACCAATCAGACGACAGTTCTTTTATACACACACGATGGCCCAGCCAGCTGGCATCCAGCCCTCATCCTGCCAGTGAGGTCCTAGCTTGACATTGCATAGCTGGCCAGGGACCTGATCTCCAGGGAAGACCAATGAAAGAAAGGGAGTTTCAGAGGATGTGGTGACACACACACTTCCTATACAGTGTGCTTATTACCACACCAAGGATGTGAGTCACTGTCAGTAGCATACCTCCAGCATATGTTTGAGGGATTCCGCTTTTTTTGCCTCTATACTCCCACATGCCGCCATGCATGTACCCACAGATTGTAGGGATAATGGGTACATCAGACACAATTACATGGACAATAGACTATAGGATGTGCCATCAGACACGATTACATGGACAATAGACTAGGATGTGCCACAGCTGTATTAATCGGTTACAATCATGCATCAATTATTTGCAACAGCTGACAGCCACAATGAGCAATTAAGTAAGACACAAACTCTAATGATGGTGTTACAAAAGAGATATTGTTTTTTAACTAGGGAGCTAAGCGATGAATGGTCCAATTGCCAGAGCCTTCATTGTCCCTTTCTCTCTCAAACACTATCCTGTCGTGCAGCCGTGTACTCTGACCCTGCCAGAACTCGACAGAGTGTGGCCAAACTCTGAACCCTCCCCAGTGCTCCGGCTTTGGGATGTCGACACTGGAGTCAGAGTACACCCGACTCAGTTCCCTGTGTGTCTCTTCGAGCTCCTCGCGACTAGAGATCCGCTCGCTCTGCGGGCTCACCACGGCACTCAGCTGGCTCTCCCGCGGTCTGGTACTGAAATATCGGGCCGAAGCCTCGTCGCTCATTTGCTCGGCCGTCCCCTCGATGCGGACCTGTCGATGCAGCGGTGCCCAGTAGAACAACAGACACACTGCCGGGTTAGCCGCCACCTCCCTCGCCTTCCGACTCTTCAAATTCGTGTAAAACTTGAACCCTTCTTCTTTTGAGTAGCCCTTCATGAGCACCATTCGACTGGACGGCCGACCGTCTTCGCCCACCGTGCTCACACAGACGGCGTTGGCCTCGGCGACCTCCTTGCAGGTGAGTGCCTCTTGGAACCAGGCGTGGAACTGCCGGAACGGGTCGGTGGAGGAGACCAGTTGGTCCTCGGTGAAGGTGGTGCGACTGTAGGCCGTCCTCAGCTGCGATATGTCGTGCCTGAGAGCAACCGAGGAGGAAGAGGAGGATTCAGTCGACATTGCTCTGATCCAAATCTCTGTGTATATGAGTGTATGGAAACGACAATACCAAGTAATGGATTATTATGCCAATTCACCTTGTTCTATCGCACTTATATCTATCTGTATCATGATCGGTACACTCACCGAACGTGTACGTTGCGTAATGGTAGCGTGGACTTCTGAATGCACCTAGAGAAACGACGCGAAAGCTGCGAAGCAACATTTGACAACACCACCAACAAACGGGCCCTCACCCCAGAGGCCCACAGGCAGGAAGCAAACTCGAAAACACCGTGAGGAAGCCACCTTCGTCCAGCTCAGCAATCAGTCTCCGCCCAGTGAAAATTAATGTCGAGCATGCGTGCTGCAGGCGCGCGATTTGCTGTCGCGCAACTCGTAGGGGCAGGAGCTAGGTGACCGTTTGTTGCAGTCTGCGCAGGGATGGAGCTGCTGCGAAGCCTCAGAGGAGGTGATATTCTCGTTTGGTTTCTTCTCGCAGCAGTCGGTAAGTATTATGAAAAATCTCTGGGCTCTGCAAAAGGACTTAGCTAGCCAGCCCAAGCTCTATATACCACACTGAACTGCAAGGAGTTGCCTGCGTGCAACTTCGCATGCAGCGAATCTAGATTATGAGCATGCCATATTAGCTACATCACTAGATTTGCAAAACTATTAATTTTCCTGCATATCCTGCAATAATGTGGCTCCTTGAACCATCGAAAAGACTGCACTTGAAAGTGATTTCAAACTTACTCCAATCGGGAGCCAAGTGTATGTATTGGTGAACCGTTATGATTGATTCTTAGTCATATCGGGTTTCGGCAAAAATGGAAAATGCCTGCATTTGTATGCCTTTGTGGGTCCGCCTTCCTTGACTATAGAGTCCCCTGCATTGTGTAGGAGGGAGAGACAGCCACCCCTAGCTATAGCTGCAACTAACAGTTTGGTGAACTCTCCGAACAAAGGACACTATGAGGCAAACAATTTTTCCCTCGTATCCTATCTCGCGGGTTAATACACTAAAGTATTAGCATGGGGTTAAAACAAGTGTCCTTTATTGTTCCTATCTGGGAGGGTCCCTTATCGGAAGTTCCACTGTAAAAAAGTCTGCTCAGTAAATTTGCTCAAAGAGTATGAGAGTTGGAGGCCCTAAGTGTTTGCTGCACTTATGCAAAAGTGTAGGCTCTGTGAAACATTGCCCTACTAATGAGTTGCCCCAGTGATTAGATGGAACCTGATGATAATAAATTCCTCCAAATGTCGTTGCCATGGTAAAAAAGTTCCCAAAATCTGACGATGAGCCTGCATTTTCACAAAGCGACCTTTTGGAATACCACTCTCATTCCGGCACTGCCCTATCAGACTCTGCTGTGTAAACTGAGAAGCTCCGCAGTGCGCAGTGTTTTTGTAGGCACCAGGTTCAAAATTCAAACCATCTGATAGCGTCTGATTCAGTTGTTACAGTCAGATGGTAGCTCTTATCACTTCCCCCTTTTCCTCCTGCCGCACAACTTGGTGCATTACCCACAGTCACATACACACACATAGTTTGTTTATATGTAACACTTTGCAGGAACTCGGGCCATCCATACGCCACAGCTGGACGATGCTCCGTGGTGGGTGGGTGATGATTGGAACGCAAGTATCCCACTCTACGATAGACTGGAGCGGAATGAGGACGACCCTCCCATCAGGGACAGGGTAGGGGGAAACATTTCTTCTTGGTCAGCAGATGGAAAGGCCGTTACTGAAATTGATCAAAGTGTCGTGGACACACACTTGAATGAGAGAGGCACTAATGAGACGGAGCATGGCTACCTCATTTTCGGCTCTGGTTAGTAGTTCTATCACACACACACACACACACACTCAACATATGCAGTAGCCAGATGGTATTACGAGACTCCTAAACTCACTTCAATAGTAGGGGTGTGCTGATCATTATGAGTATGCATTCCAGTCCCATAGGATCAATATATACCAGACTACAATTTTATGTATAAAGTATTAGCACCTAGTATTATAACCCCATATAAATTCTTATGGACTTATGGAGGGTCTGAACGCATATATTTGTCCGTGACTGGTTGACTGTTAATCAGCCTAAGTGTTGTTTTAATTGGTACTTGACTCGCACGTAAGCCATGAATTTCAAAAATGTTGTCAGGTGGCCCCTTAACCTAGAAGTGCCTATATGATACTACAATCATTTTCCTCCCCTCCCACAGATTTTCCACATGTGGTGAACAAGCATCCACCAGTGAAGGCAATCAATGGCGAGCCTTTCACAATGCGGTGTCCAATTGAGAGCAGTCTCCCAGGAACACTCTACTACTGGCAGAGATACAAGGCCATGGACAGGGAGACCCAGTTTGGTTTCCCTCCAGATGTCGAGTTCTCGGAGGGCGGGAGGGTGTGGTCAGTGGATGTACTGTCACGAGACCACAACGGGATGTACGAGTGTCTGGCAGTCAATCATATTGGGCATGCTGTCTTTCACAATGCCAATGACTTCTTCATCTCTGTCTTGTGTAAGTGAGTTTTGCCGATTTTAAATTTTGCAAAGCACATTGTAGTGTTGCAAATAGGTGTTTCCATATAGCCTTTTGTTTCTCCTTTCATTATCAGTTTAAGGGGAATTAGACTAGAGTTTTGAATCCTCTTCTTATTATACACATACAACGGAGCCTCCGATAAGGGACCCTAAAAGATAGGGACAACCTCTTTACAAAGGACACATGTGTTTCAACACACTTTAGTGTATTATTAATTTGACCTCTGAGATAGGGACGACCTCTCTACAAGAGACAAAATCGTTGGCGCCATAGTTCCACTGTAGAATACAGGCATACCTGATCTGACCACCAACTCTTATCTTTTCCACCTCAGCCTGCTCAAACCACGCCCCGACAATCTCGTTCACAATAGAACACCTGGGCAGCTCCGCACACTACGAAGGAGACCATGTGGAGCTAAAGTGTACTGCCACGGCCGTCGACTACCACGAGCAACCGTTCTGGTACCACAATGGCACTGTGTGCAAAAATCCAACCTACTACCTGGTCAACAGTAATTTCGATGTGTCTGCTTGTCGATGGACCTCCACTCTAAAAGTTCTAAACCTCACGGCAGAGACTGCTGGGGTATACGACTGTACTGTCGGTTTGCAAGGCACCAACACTACACTTGTCTTAGCTGGTGAGTTGTTGCCAGTGGCATAGGTTTACTCGTGGCTGGCATGTGTCAATAACGAGGTAGAAAGGCAAAGTCAAAGTGAACAAGTCAACTGCACCCAGAACAGCTCTTTTTTCCAAGGGAAAAGAATCTGACCTGGGGATGTATGAGATTCGAATCCAGGACACTCTACAGTCTAGGCGGGCATGCTTTACTCACGCATGTTTGCTTTGAAAAAGAAGAGTACTAATAAACTAGCAAGGGAAATTTTAGCCCCTCAGTGTAACAAGCCAAAACAAGCGGGTGTAATATACACCACTTTACTGGCCCTTGAGCTTATCAAAGTGGATCATGTAAACTCAGAGGGCCAATGATAACACTGTGGGTACACCTTGTATACACATAGAGCCTGCCTCTGAAGAGACAGAGGTCACGGTTGCAGTGGTTGTCGGAGTTGGAATTGCCATGGGAGTTGGATTTGCCATGGTGGTCATGGGACTGTACTACAAGAACGGGACACACAACGGACCCCAGCCGTCTGAAGAGCCACCATGTAAGGACAATCAACTCCAATTTTGACGCATAATTAGTGTGCAGATAACACTATAAAAGATAAGTCTAAGCATTTAGGCAGCAGATCATGTGCATAGATTAGCATCTACATTATATAAACTGTGGGAGAAATGGCACCATGCTGTCTACAGTAATGTAAGAGCCATTAGATGCTGTATATACATTATTCGGTACCATTTTTTGCTTCAGCAAATTGAATATGTTTGTTTGTTCCTGTCATTATTGTTTCGAGTGTTATTACACAATTTTCCTTTGATGTTTTGTTATTCCTGCAGATGACGGTTTCGAGTACGACGCATTTGTCAGTGCCCACGACGAGGCAAGGGAGTTTGTTCTGCAGAGCATCCTCCCACCCCTGGAGTCTGGCCCCGCCCCCTATAGACTCTGCTGGCACTCCCGTGACTTCATCCCCGGAGTCCCCATCATGGAGCAGATAGCTTACACCATGGCCAGGAGCAGGAAGATCATCTTTGTCTTCTCGGAGCATTTCCCTCAGAGTCAGTTCTGCTGCGCGGAGCTGGAGCTGGCCATGAGCCGCTACATGAGGTCGTGTACTCGGTGCATACTGCCGGTGGCTCTGGAAGGCGGGTTCGTCCCGGAGGAGCTGAAAAAGAGGCTGACGTACCTCCCAGTCCTCTCGGCCAGAGAGGAGGTAGACGTGGCAGCAGAGATTGCCAAAGTCATGGGTAAGTTTGATGGTGTACGTTTGAGCATGCAGATGACAAGTAATGGGTTCTAAAAGTAGTTAAGGGGGCCGCATGCATAGTTTGAACTACAGGCCTCAAAATCACATTGAACCATGGTATATCGATTCACATGGATACTTAAAAAATTGGCGTAGCCTATATAAAACTTATAAGCATGGTTCCAGAAATTCCTTTTACTAGGAGAGCTGTAACATTTAGTGGCGCCTAATCTGGTGCCCAAATACAACTAGACTAAACTACATTGAGATGGGGAAAAAAATTGAGATGCAAAAATCAGTGCGATTTAACTACACACAATTCTGCACGGCAGCTACACCCACACTGTACGGGGGAGAGAAACTTTCACTATGTTTGAGAAAACTTGTGTAGGATACTGTTAGTTGTGATGACATTGAAACTGAGTGTAGTTACATTGTACACTGCTATCATGATTGTTTTTCTACAGGTGAGCCTATTCCAGTGGTAATGGACAGACACGATGACTCTTTTGTCGAGGAATAACAACAACACAACAACATCACCACCAGACTCTGTGTTGTTTGATAGGACACCCTTCGAACCATGCACGATTCATTTTTTCTCAATTGTTGATCCATTTCTGTGAAACTAACATGTGAACACAACTCTAGTGACTAGTGGACAGAAACATAGGTGGGATAGTGTGGGATTAGGTGATCCACGGTCCTTAAAATGCACCAGCCACTTGCTATTAGTAGGGTGATAAGAGTGCCTGTGAGCATAGCTTTGTCCCCAGGCCCTCCCTCCATGTCATAAAAACTGACAGTTAAGCTCTCCTTGCATTGTCACAGGCTTAAAGGTCAAGTGCGTGTCTTGCACAGAGGAGACTCAGGGGCAATAGATAGTGAGCGAGTAACGTCCGATTTCAGAGTCTCAGTTTATGCTGTGAGCTCTGAGCATGCCATGCATACATCTCAGTTGTTCAGTGTCCTGCTAGCTAGCTACTACCATTACATACTCTATGTTGTGGTATCTCTTCCAATAATACAGTTGGACTTCAATCTCAATGGAGCAAATTGTGACTTGCATCTGTGTGGACATTAGCAGCCTAAGAAGTGGATGGAGTTTTATAGTTCTCTTATATACCAGTGGTAGCACGTGATAGTGATAGCTGATGTTTGTGAGACGAAGTATAGTAGCTACATAGAACCTTCTTGCAATTCACAATTTCATTGGTTTAGCTAGCTATATAGTCAGCGTGTCGAACAAATTGAAGCAGTGGACACCATTGCATACAACAGCAGAGCTAGATTCACTGACTGTGTGTCCCTCCCTACAATGGTCTTGTGTCCACATCTCTTGTTTGTAGAGAAAAACACTAGTTACTTGTTTTGTGCAGCTGTAGCTATATAGTGCAGACACACAATGAGAGGTTTCAGTTTACAATGTTGTTAGTGTAAACCTACTTGTCTACCACAGTGATGTGTCTTATGGCAGGAGGGTGGTGTGTGTTGAGAGGGTATACTCTGCAAGAGATGGTGGTGGAACAAACAGTGTGCTTTGTAGCTCCCAGTTTACAATCGTTGGCTTTTGTTCTGCTGTGCGGAAATAGAAATACTTTCACTCCTTATATAAACACGGTGAAAAACATCGGTACGATGTGCAAGTTTTACACTTACATTCATGCATGCAGTAGCTAAGAAAGCAGCAGAACAGATGGAAAGCGTTGTGATTAGAGCTGGATTGCTGCTTTTACTACTGCATGTTAGTCTAGACAGTGTTACGGCCAGTAGAGAAACTAAGACAAAACTAGGGTTTGTAGAAGCTGCAGTAAACAGAGAGTCAGCAAACAAAAGTACAGAGGGGTCATTGCCGAGAGAAGGTAGTAAGCAACTGAAACAACCAGGATCATCTGATGATCACATAACTTGTCCTCATCTCTGGTTTCTTTGGGACAATGGTTCGTGTCATTGCGGCAGTGATGTACATGGAGTTGTCAAGTGTGATCCAGATACCAAAGAGGTTGCTGTAGTTGACTGCAACTGCCTAACGATTGAATACACATCAAATGGTGCACAAATCCCTGTAGCTGGTAGCTGTATTTTCAACTGTGTGAATAGTACATATGTAAAAGACAGTGATCCATTTTACCACAGTGCACCATCTGACTGTGCTAGTCTGAACAGACAAGGAACACTCTGTGGACAGTGTCTGGATGGCTACACTGTGCCAGCATATTCCTATGACTTAAATGCATCAGATGTGACAGTGAACTGGAAAACTGGGGACTCTACATAGTCTTTGCCTTTCTCCCTCTCACAGTCTTCATTGTCATAATTTTAGTCTTCAGGATCAATGTAATTTCTCCAAAGCTCTACACTTTTGTGTTTTCCTCCCAATTTGTTTCAATCCCAGTTTTTCTAAAGCTTGTTCTCTACTATCTCTCTACACACAAGCACTTGCATGGAGGAAGGTATAGGATACCCTTAGCTTTCTTTTCAACATTTTATGGAATTTGGAATCTGGACTTTTTTCGAGTGTATGTGTGGCCCAATGTTTGTATCAATGTCATTCCTCTTCACATCCTGGTATTGGACTATCTCATAGCTATCTATCCTATGCTGCTAATGGCTGTTACATACACTATGGTTGAATTGTATGGCTTTGAGTTTAGACCATTGCGGTGCATGTGGAAGCCCTTTCACTATTTCTTTGCTCGATTTCGTCGTCACTGGGGTATACAGACCACCATTATGGATGCCTTTGTCACATTCTTCTTCCTCTCCACTACTAAACTGTTGAGCGTGTCCTTTGCCCTTTTAATGGGCACAAAAATCTACACTTCTGAAGGAAAATTGCACTCCTATGGCCTCTACTACGATCCAAGTATCAAATACTTTGGCAAGGAACACCTGCCGTATGCACTAATGGCTATTGCAATTCTTGTATTCTTTATTGCTTTCCCAACATCTCTGCTCCTTTTTTACCAATTCAAGATGTATCGGACATGCTTAGCTGGGTGTCAAATAAGAGGCACTACATTGGACAGGTTTGTAGACACCTTTCAGAAGTATTACAAAGATGGCAGCAATGGTACATGGGATTGCAGGTGGTTTGCTGGTTTTTTATTCTTATGAATTCCACAGCATACATTATTTACTCTCTAGCTCCTACGTCAATGTTTTTCCTCTTTGCCACAATTTTGTTTACCATTGGAGCAGCTGTGGTTGTGATAGTGGAACCTTACAAGAAGGAGTATTCCGTTTACAATATTGTCACTGCAAACCTCCTTTTGTGGCAGGCCCTGCTTTCTGCTTCGTTTTCATATGAGACTTTGCTGACATTTATCAACAAGAACTGAATGACCACTTCATGATCACCACACTCTTGTGTCTTTTTCCTGTTGGTTACATAATAGTAGTAACACTACTGTATGTAGTCAAGAGATTTAGAAAGTCAGCAGATGGACTAACGAGTTCACTGCCACACCGTCTGATTACACCCTGACCAGTACTGAGAGGGTTTAAAGAGTTTTTGTATTCCACACAATAATTATTGTCATCGTTATTCTTTATTCACATGCACCACTCTCAAGTTTATATTTGGTATTTAACATGTTTCCATTCTGTTTGACATAGTTGTGGTACCAACAGTGATATGATAACAGAGAGGAAAATAGTATTATGGCGCACACGCAGCTGTGGCCACTATTATTGCTGTGGCGAGCTTAATAATTTTAGTATACCACTTAAAGAAACAGAGACATTTCATAACCCCCATCCCTACCAACAAAGATGTATTATGGTTATGACGACTTTCTGTCTCGGTGTAGATATGGTCCTGTTTTCCCCTCCTTGGTACACTATAAAATAATTGCGTCACGTATCGCAATGGAAAAGCAATAGTTACTGAAAAGTAGAGGACAAGTAATGATGGTCAATTTCTCTTGTAAGGTACTTGTAAGGGTCCTGCGTTGCATACAGTTCCTGTAGCAATGGTTTTATCAAACTATGGAATTTGGAATCTGGACTTTGTTCGTGTGAATGTCTTACCCGATGTCTGTATCGATGTCATTCCTCTTCACATCCTGGTATTGAACTATCTCATAGCTATCTATCCTATGTTGTATCCTATGGCTGCTTTATAGGCTATGGTTGAATTGTTTGGCTTCGGTTTTAGACCATTGCGGTGCATGTGGAAACCCTTTCACTATTTCTTTGCTCGATTTCGTCGTCACTGGGGTATGCAGACCACCATTATGGATGCCTTTGTCACATTCTTCTTCCTCTCCACCACTAAACTGTTGAGTGTGTCATGTGATCTCCTAATCAGTACCAAAGTCTACACACAGTGAAGGGAAGCCATACTCACGAAACTTGTTCTACGATCCAAGTATCACATACTTTGGCAAGGAACATGCCATATGCTCTGATGGCTCTTGCCATTCTCACTGTATTTATTGCTTTCCCAACATCTCTTTTGCTCTGTTACCAGTGTAAGGCTTATCGAAAGTGCCTCACTAAATGTCAAATACATGGAAATACAGTGGAAACTTTCGTAGAGTCATTTCAGAAGTACTACAAAGATGGCAGCAATGGCACATGGAATTGCAGGTGGTTTGCTGGGTTCTGGGTACTTTTCAAATGTTTCTGTTACTTGATGATTTATTCAGTTTCCCTCAATGACATTAGTTTCGCTCTCTTCACTGTTGCTGCAATAATTGGTGCTACAGTAGTCGTGATTGTCCAGCCCTACAGAGAAGAGTACTCAGCGTTCAATGTCATCAGTGCAAATCTCTTCCTGTGGCAGGCACTGGTCTGCGCCTTTATGTCAAGAGAGAGTATATCTTCAATTGTTGCAGCAGAATTCAAAGACCATTTTTTCTGTGTCTTCCTTCTCTGGTTGGTTCCTTTGACCTACATCATTGGAATACCACTGCACCAACTGGTGGTAAAGTTCCGACAATGGCAGTTGCAGAAAGCCAGCTCATTCAGTACCGACATCCACCTTCTTAACCCCAAATGAAGATTCTTCGCAGCTAGTTTGTATTGGATCAGTATAATCATAGTAGATTGTGTACTTATCTAGCTAAACGATGTCTTTATTGGCGAGCGGGAGCGAGCCAACCTAGTCGTCGCAACGGGCCGATTTCTCTATTTATTTATTTATTTATTTATATACGACCGACCGTGGTACGTCGTGTAAGTGCGCATGCGCGACTTCATTTCGCAACTAACTGTGGCAACCATGGATCGTCAGTCTACAGAGGATGCCCTTCGTCGGAGAGAGAGGGAAAGAGAACGTCGTGCCCGTGAGACTCTTGAGCAGAGAGAGGCTCGGCTTTCTCAACAAAGACGACGTCGCGCCCGTGAGACTCCTGAGCAGAGAGAGGCTCGGCTTTCTCAACAAAGAGAACGTCGTGCCCGTGAGACTCCTGAGCAGAGAGAGGCTCGGCTTTCTCAACGCCGACTGCGTGAGACTCCTGAGCAGAGAGAGGCTCGGCTTTATCAACAAAGAGAACGTCGCGCCAGTGAGAATCCTGAGCAGAGAGAGGCTCGGCTTTCTCAACGCCGACTGCGTGAGAATCCTGAGCAGAGAGAGGCTCGGCTTTCTCAACGCCGACTGCGTGAGACTCCTGAGCAGAGAGAGGCTCGGCTTTCTCAACGCCGACTGCGTGATAGGGAACGGCCAAGGGAACGCCTCGCCGCCGAAACAGCGGAAGAAAGGGAAGCACGACTAGCGAGACGTCGTGTACAAGATAGAGCTAGACGCGCTGCAGAATCATGGGAAACGGAACAGGCCAGGCTCACACAGCTCCGAAACTACCAGGCAAGACGAATTGCTGCCGAGTCCAGCGGGGAGAGAGAGGCCCGCCTGCAACAGGTACTTACGCAGGAATCAAGAACAGACAATTGCTGCTGAGGCCAGCGGGGAGAGAGAGGCCCGCCTACAGCTGGTACGACTCAACAAACAACAACGGATTGCCTCAGAGACTCCACAAGAGACTGAAGCAAGACGTCACATGCAGCAGGCAAGTCTACTGCCACCTCAACCTCAACTTCACCAGCCAATTGGTCCAATCAAACTTTGAAGTACTTGCAACACCTGCATTGACACATTTCTTGGTTGGATCGCTCCCGCTCGCCAACAATGGTTACCATTAAACTAGTAATAATGAAGGGGCAATATTATGTGACAGGCCAGTCAAGGTGGCATGCGAATTAAACACCTGAGTGCAGGAATGCATAATTATCACGAAGGCACCGTTATTTCTGAAGTGCAAACCCTCAGTGAACTGCGCATGCGCGATACTGCTAATTGATGGGGGCTGGGCTATTACTTGTATATATGCGTTTACTCGTGGTCCTAGCTCCCGCTACTGAGTAGCTCGCGCTACTGAGTAGCTCGCGGAGAACGGCCCAACCCATCAATAAGCGGTGCGCATGCGTCGCGATCAACGTGATCCGCTCGCTCTGTGTATATACCCTTGGGGGCTCAGGAAGTCACAACGAATGGCATGTATCGACTCCCGCATGCTATCAACTACTGTAGCTATCCCGTGTCAGATACGATCATTGATGCTCAAACCATGTTTTCCCCCCTTTGTACACTATAAAAATTCTTTGTTCTTGAAAAGTGGAGGACAAGTAATGACGGTCAATTTCTCTTGTAGGTACTTGCTTCGGGGATTTTATACAGCACAGAAGCAAGGAATACATGTAAGTAGCACTCAATTGCTAATACGGGACATGATCCCATGAGAATAAAAAGAAATAAGATGACGTTTGAACAGAGAAAAAGAGGACTCAGAACATAGAGTACTATCAAGACTGTTCCACAGTCTAATAGTTGCAGCGAACAAACGAGTGGTAGCTACATGGAGTTAGTACGGGAGAAAGGATGATGTAGAGAAAAGGATGAGAATGATAGGAACGGGAGGTGCAATAAATAAAAACATCAAGGTCAAAAAACACAAGCTGTTCACAATTTGTACAGGAGACAAAGTCTAGCCACCTCTCTACGTTTCTCAAGAGACAGAACACCGGTTTTATCCAACAGATCACTGTAACTGAGATCCCAACACTTTGTAACCATTCGCAGAGCAAATGTTTGGACTTTTTACAGAAGTAATTTATCACTCTGTGAGGAAGGAGACCAAATTGCAGCAGCATACTCCAGGTGAGGTCGAACCAGTGACTTGTAAGGCTGCAAGAGCATTGTGTCTGGAAGATGTTGGTAATAGTTCCGATAAAGAAGCCCAATCATCTTCTTGGCCATCATATAGACATGCGGAGTGTGCTGACTCCATGATAAGTCAGAGAATATGTGCAGTCCTAGGTACTTGTAGGAGCTAACACACTCCAGCAATTGACCTCCCAGATGTAGAGGAGATGAGGGTTTGAAAGAAACCTTTCCTTGATATCATCATAAATTTACATTCAGTGTAAGGGCATTTTGCCTTGACCAATTATAAATATATATAGGTGATATTCTTTTGCACTGACACAAAGTCCTCAGGGGAGTCAATGACTTGGTATATAAAGTAACACGTCATCTGCAAACATGTGCAGTCTTGGAGATCCAGAAAAAGTAGTACGTGACAGGTCATCAATATAAATCAGGAAAAGCAGGGGTCCCAGAATTGATCCCTGAGGCACACCAGAAAGAACTGGTGATAGCGTTGACTTAGCCCCATTTACAACCACAAACTGACGCCTTTCAGTCAGGTAGTCAGTAAGCCATCTCAGGATAACACTGTTCAACTGTAGATATTCTAATTTTGAGAGAAGAGGAACACTGTCAAACACTTTCTGATAGTCAAAGAAAAATACTTCCTGACCTCTTTCAAGAGCAGCATGCCAATTGATTTTATGATGTTGTGGAGCAGAGGGGCTAAGAGGAGAGTGACTGAGATTGAAGCATGATGAAAAGAAGAAGTTGAGGGCAGTTGCCCTTTGCTCATCTGACTCACATAGCCTACCATTATGTTTTATTAAAGATGATGGAAGACTGCTTCTTGTTTATTGCTTTCATGGATTTCCAAATATTCTTGGAAACCTTTGGATTGATATGCCGGAAATATTCACGTTTTGCTTTCCGTAGAAGGCTGGTAACTCTGTTTCGTGCACTTCTAAATTTTGAAGAGCACATTTCGCTTTCTCATTGCTCTTTCCAATTCAGTAGACAACCAAGGGAGTTTTTTCCTCGAGGAAAGTGTCATTCTTGGAATAACTTTTTCCATGATGCTGAGAAACATACGTTGCCAGTTCATCCACGCAATATTTATGTCATCTGATAAAAGGGCATTCCAGTCACAGGTATATACACATAAGCTGACATGCTCTCTCCCAATCAGCTTCAGAGTATTTCCAAACTGAACGACGAGGGCAATGCTTAACACTAGCTACCAGGTGTAGACTTCCACTGCATCTCCAGCTTGATGCCGAGGTGATCAGAATTGGAGAGAGGGGGAATGACTTTACAAAAAGACAGAGACAGCGGATTAGATACAAAGACCAAATCAATAAGAAAATTGAGGTTACCACTACATAAATGAGTAGGCTGATTAACAGTCTGAATTAAACCAAAAAGAGACAAAAATCCATAGAAACAGAATTATAGACATCTATTTAAAGTCCCCAAGCAATACAAAACTAGAATACTGTGATATATCAATTAGTTCATAATACTGTTGTAGGACGGAGTATACATCAACACTTTGACATGGCGGACGATACAACACTGAGAGACAATACTTGTGGTTTGCACGACGTAGGGTGAATGTAATAAGCTCAAGAGGTGAACAATCAGGGAGATGTTGGAACATAAACTTGTTAGAGACAAACACAACAACACCACCACCATGTCTGTTTCTGTCCAACCTTACAGGTATGTAACCAGGGATAAGAATTTCAGAATCCTGGATCTCCGGTGAGAGCCATTACTCTACAATACATACAATATCTGGTGCGTGCAGATTGACAGACAAAAGTAACTCATCAATTAGTTTAGGAAGGAGACTCCGGGTATTGTAATAGAGTACTCTTAACACATCCTTCGGCAGACTTTTACTTATATTCTGTTGTGCCTTGGGCTCCTTCTGAATGCCCTGATGTAGTCAGTCATTTGAAGAGCCAGCAGGGCTCCCCTATGAACTGGAGCTTCAAATTGCTCTGGTAGTGAAAAACTGAAGCATTGTTGCTGGAACAATCGCACAATAGGTCACTGTTTGTCGTGGCTAATGTGACAGTGCCAGGGATACTGGACACCTTGTCAGACACAGCTGTTGCAATTGTTGAGGAGTAGAAGAGGAACCCTTGTCAAAACAGAGGCTGCACTTGTGGAGATGCCTGGATAGATAGGGGAAAGAGCATCATCCACATAGCTAAACATGTCTTCCAATCTCCAGGCAGTGTGGAAAGAGATCCTGTCCCAAGCCTCTACCAGGGCATCAATATCACTCTTGTCACCCCTCACAACAAACCACCACCTACCCACCGAACCATTTGCATTCATTCGTACTTTCTTTTGACTGAGAAACGATCAGCAAGCGACTCAGATGTTGTTCTCTTGACAACATTCAAGATGGCAGCTGATGTTGTAGAGCACAGAGTGCCCCATATCTTCCTTGAATTTTCTAGCCGAATTTTGCCCATGACACCTTTCCTGGATACTCCACCAACACCATCAACCCTATCTCCACCAACAACTCTACCTTTCCCACCCACATTACCACAAGCACTCATGTTGTCATGATTTTCCGTGCTACCCAGCCTCTCACCTGCCCCACCATCCACCCTACCTCTCCATGCCCACCATGCCCACCTCTTCCCCCTCTACCGACTCCCCTCCTCCCCTGCCTATATACCCCCAACACCACCTCCACCACCTCCACCACCACCTCCAGAACTGAGACACCCACTATATAGGCTCAAGGGTAGGTGCAGATTTTGGGTTGTTTGGCATTGTTTGTGACACTGGAGGAGATGACAAGCAACATAATAGAGTTATCAAGAATGTAATTGGAGTGAAACAGTGCAACAAGAAACATGGATAATGGCAGAGAAAAGAATAAAAAGAGAAGGGCACCGGTATGGAGGAGACTTGCCAAGGAACAAGCATTATCTATCAATACTCACAACTTACTTTGATGGAAAACGAACACACGTTGAAGGTTACACACTCCAGTCGATGGAACAAGAGGTACTGATGAAAAGTGCTCTGATGCCAATATCTGGTTTGTACCTAATAATGGGACATGTGAATGTGGAAGTGATTTGAATAAGATTGTGTTGTGTGATCCAGTCACCAAAGACCTAGCTGTCATGGACTGTTACTGCATCACATATCAATACAGTAGTGAGGGAGAACCAATGTTCCCTGTAGTTGGAGAATGTGTCTTCAATCACACACGAACATCTACCACATCAGCGCTGATTGTATGAGTTTTTTGCAGAGTGATTTTTCAGAGTACAGGGACTTTTTTAGGGAGTTGGATTTAGCAAAAGCTGTTTGAAGTGGATACGTGGGTGTGTGTTGAGGAGCAGCTCTTATACAGACGGAGATTGGATAGAGGGACACGTTCTACTGATAAATCCCCATTTTGTGATACCAGGGTTTTGGATGGTAATTAATGACAGCGAGAGAATGCGAACCTATGACTGGAATCTGCAGTAAATTCCTCGAGTGCTAATTATCGCGCGCGGCGGCGCCGGCCGGCTCCTTCGTTTCACTGCTGGGCCCTATTATTGGCGAGCGGGAGCTATATAGTCGTTCGTTCGAGCGGAATTTATACGACCGACCGTCGTGTGTACGTGTGTACGTACGTCGTGTAAGTGCGCATGCGCGGCTTTGTATGCGCTTCTATTTTCACACACGCGATATGCGCCGATCGCATACTTGCCAACCGTCCCACATTCCGCGGGACTGTCCCGCAAAAAACAGTGGCGTCCCGCTGTCCCGCAGCAGAGCCTTATTGTCCCGCGTCCGTATGGCACGCGATCCGTAACAATAATCCCCAAGGTATTACCTGTAGGTAATAATGTTTAGGGTTTTTGTTACGGTGCCATACGGCTCCGCGTCACTGCATGCGCGCGCAGGGAGTTTCTATATAGCTCGCTGCGCATGCGTACGATGTGGAGAGACTTGACCTTTGTCCTTTTGCTATTAGCAGCGATAATGTTAGGGAAACTGGGGAAAGGGAGCAACACAAAGAAGTCTACAAACAAGAGAAGATGCAAAACAGTCCTAATTTTGTGTGTGCATATTAAATAATTGATGTAGTGTTTCTGTCCTGCAATTTTTCTTCATGTCCTGCATTTCTGAACAAAGTGTCCAGTAAAATGAATTTACATGGTTGGCAAGTATGCGATCGATCTCGGCCAGCTAGCTAGAGAACTCTCCTCCATTCGACGGCATGCGCTGCAACCTTCGGTGACTGACGGAGGCTGTATATACCTCTTCCCAATCTTCATGGTTCCAAGGTGCAAGTTGCAAATACGCTAGGATTGCTCGTGCGCCGCATACTGCTGCATTCCAGCTGCCAGGTGGACCACGACTGACGAGCTGAAAGCGTACGGTAAGCGTTCTGCTCACCTGCTCACAGTTCTGCCAATGTACATTACGCATACTTAAGTAGGCGAATGCAGGGCATTTTTGGCGAGCGGGAGCGAGCACACAATGACTGTATCTGCACGAGTCATCCTAGCTTATTTAGAACTTGAACCTTAGAACAACGAAGATTGGAAAGAGGTATATACAGCCTCGTTCAAGAGCGCAGCGAATCCAAGCAAAGAGACGAGAGTTCTTTCGCTGGCTAGACCTCGCATCGATATGACAGCTAGGTAGCGTGTGAAAATAAGCGCGTTCCCCATCACGCAAGCGACGCTGATACAGACGAGCCTCTCTCTGCTCAGCAGTCTCACGGGCACGACGTTCTCTTTCCCTCTCTCTTCGACGACGAAGGGCATCTTCTCTGGACTGATCCTTCCATGATTGCGAGAGTACGAAGCTACACACACAAGCGTATACGCACGTGACATTACGACATGCAGGCCGGCTAGGCAGCATGTGAAATTGATTAAAGAGAAGCGCGTAATCCTGGAGCATGCGCAGTTGGACGATCGCTCCCGTTCGCCAACAATGTTCAACATTCCCACTAGTACTGTAGTTTGTGCTTAGCTACGTATTAGTTAACGTATAGGCGGCGAGGCGGTACAGGAGATACTCCGAGGCGGTATAGTTAACGGCCGAGGAGGATTTCCTGTACGCGCCGAGACGCCAGACGTTAAAATTTGATTTGTAGTCCAACTGAATTTCTGCTGTGCTAATTGACTGTTGTGTAAACTTTGGAAGCCACTACGCCTAGCGCTAGATGTTGTGATAAGGACTTCCTGTCCAATACTGAAACCGGTGCAGCCCGCAGCCCACAGCAGCGTATATATAATTCAAACACTGGTAGTTAGAAGTTGGACTACAAATTCCCGTGAAGTGGGATGAAGTCATTCTCTGTAAGTTTGAGTTGGTAATGCCTTGTGCGTCGTTGTGTCGTTTGATTGCTAGTCCAGCTCCATTCAGTCACTTACGGTTCCGTGGCTACTTACTGCTGTTGTTTGCGTGTGTATACGGATCAGTTGGTTGCCAGGACTCAATAAATTTTTGTTTCAGATGGAAGATGTGTTGGTGATAGCAGCTCTGTGTCTTTTATCGGGTGAGTTGGCTCTAAGACGTAGAGTGAACAACTATACGGATCGTCACCCGTTGGACGGTTGTAATGTTGCGATGTTATCTCAGACCGTGCGTACGTAGCTAGACCTATACCTCGACTAAACTGAGACGTTTTTGCATCGCAACATACAGCGGTCCCATGCAGAATGTTGTTGCGTCCGACGGTCGCGCTACCTATGGCCGGACACACTCGCATTCGACAAGGCAACGTGCTAGGGCAACCAGCCTAATTTACCTTACTAGCCATTGGGCTAGATTAATGTTTTAAGTTCAGGTCAGGCACGCATGGTCTAAATGAGGAACTGGGTAGGCATAGGGGTATGAAGGAGTGCCTGTTGTGTGATGATGAGTGTGAAAGTGTGAGTCATGTGTTGTGGGAGTGTCCAGCATATAGTAGTCTTAGGAGCAATTTCTTAGTTGCACTGCAGGGGAAGCTTGGGGATAATGGGTTTCAGGAAAGCATCCTTTATATTGGGTAGTGAACTGTGGGAGGATAAATTTGGTTCTTTGCTTGGCCTTGTTAAAGATTTTATTTTGGGTGTTTGGGAGCTAAGAAAGGTTAAGTTATACGGCGATAGTCCCCGCGTACAACAAACCCAGTCTCAGATTGCGTCTGGGGAGCTGCAGGTGGAAGGGGTAAGTTGAGGTGTCTGGGAGGTGAGACAGACACCTCATGTTCATATGGTGTATGTTCGTTTGTTAACGGTCCGCCCATTGCTCTGGGTGCATGGTCTATGGCCCTAGTGCTATGGCAGCCACCTGAGTATTATTATTATTACTTGGGCTAGCTAATGCTATTTTAATGGTTCTCTTTGGGAGGAAGATATTTACTTCGCAGTTGTGGAAAGGGAGATTTGTGTACATTGTAGTCCAACTTCAAACAACCCAGTGCTAGGAATATAAGCTGTATTCTGAGCTGTGGGCTGTGGGCTGCACTGGTATCCGTATTGGACAGGAAGTCCTTATCACAACATCTAGCGCTAGGCGTAGTGCAAATTGTCTGGCTTCCACAACAGTCTATTAGTGCATTAGTGCAGGATGACACAGCAGAAATTCAGCAATGTGATTGGCTAGTTGGACTACAAATCAGTTAACGTCAGGCGTCTTGGCGCGTAAAGGAAATCCTCCTCGGCTGTTAACTATATACCGGCCTCAGGTTACGCCCTCGTCAGGTATAGCCTTTGAGTATCTCCTGTACCGCCTCGCCGCCTATACGTTAACTAATACTTATGGTGAGTGCTAAAAAGCCATCTGATATTTCGGGGATTATCTGAAGAAAAACTAGCACTGCCACATTGAAAAGAGGCAGACAAAAATTCCTTGTTAAACCTGAACATTTTTGACTACTATTAGCATGCTGCTGCCTTGTCGAATGTGAGCACAGTATATACCTGGTCTGATTATCAGGTGCTAAGTTCGTATAAGGTTTCAGGGCTGTGTGCTTTGAGTGGCCAAGGCATTGGACTATAAAAAGACATTGCAATAGCTAGCTACTAAGTTCCTGGAGCAGACCAATCTGACCAATGTTTAGTATATTGACTGCTACAACGCTTATATAGTTATTTTATTCATGATTTTCCATCTCCCATTCCTTTATAATTAGTAATGGTCAGGAAATCAGCATTCATGCGTACTGTGCACTATACTGCAACACGCGTAAACACAGTCCCCCACCCCCCCGAACGAAGGTCTGGCCCCATGAGACTATTATGGAGTCGACGGTATGTTGCGCAACGGGCGCGTAACGGCACGGAGATAGGTGGGTTTCCCAAATGCAAGGTGAACGCGAATTTGCATGTTTTGTTTCATGTTTGTACATGAAAATAATTGTAGGCAAGTCCACCTTTGTCTTTTTGCATACCTACCAACCTGCAGATACACATTGCTTTGTATAATTCTGCTGGCCCCTTCAGAGTGCATGAACAAAATGAGTGTCCAGTTACCTCCAGTCGTGTAGCTACATAGCTATTGCTGGCTCAGCTTAAATTGCATCCATGTGCACAGAATCTTTGATAATCTTGATAATCTTTGGATTCTTGTATATAGCTGCACAGGATATTAGTCTGGTGAGGACTGAACCAGAACAGTTGCCATGTCCACAGCAAAGGATTGAGTTCCAGTGTGAGACTATAGTTGCGTCACAAACACTGATATGGACTCTACCAACTAGTGATACTATTGAGTTTGGAGTTCTCAGGACTGTTGGAGATGTTCGTAACTCATCAGACAATGTTTACAGCGCAACTTTGACTAACAAGATAGAAGATGAAGATCCAAACACTGACAGATTCTTCTTCACGTCAACTCTGCTGGTCCTGGAGCCTGCCAATAGATCAAATCTGACCTGTACTGGAGGCACAGCAGCAGCTTCTGTAAAAATGAGCACCACAATAACTCAAAGTGGTGAGAATACTCAATGTGTGCTTAACCATACTCCTCAACTTGCTGGTTTGACAAGATATCTTCATTATGCTGGTGTAGTTACAAGCAAAAGAATGCATAGGCGCTGTCTGTAATGTAATGAAGTTTTCAAAAATCTGCTTCTCACGTTTTCTAATACGTTTTAGTATTTCACTAACAGACGCTTAAATTAGCATATTGGCTTGTTCACTTTGTCAAAATCAAGCCAGTGTAGCACTGAACCTGTTACTATCGCTCTTTGGCTGATTTCTTGTGCGTGGTGGCAGAAACGTGGTAACAGACAGACAGACAGGTAGACAGACAGACAGACAGATGGACGGACAGGCACACTTACGAACCAAGTACTGTAACCCTCGCTGCGCATGTGCGCCGAGGGTTAACAAAGGTACATTTCAGCAAATGGAGAATTTAGCAAAGTTTGATAATCAACTTTGGAAGTCAGGGTTCACAAACTTGGGACCGTGTAATACTATCCATACTACAGGGGTGACAATTTGTGAACCCTGAAAAATCATGGTGACAAATTTGTGAAGCCTATGTTAGTAAAAAAAGTGCCTGAAATTTCATACCTGCCAACCGTCCCGATCTGGTGGTAACGGCCCCGATATTACTACTTTAGCTTGACATTCCGCCCGCTGGCGCTGGAATCCCTCGTTAATCCCGGTATAAGCGAGCATTCCATCTGCCACACCCATGATGTAGTGTACGACGCATACGCACACACAACGCAGAGGCTCTCGCCTCTAGACTACCTAGCAGAGAGGTTGCTTGCGCAGACCCGGCCGACACCGATCACTCGGGAAGGCGAGACTTTTGAAACGCTGCAAGAAAGCAACTAACGGTTCACTCCAATCATAACAGTATTGTTTTTGTATTTGACAGTGTTTTACAGTTCATAGAAATACAACAATTGAACACCCCCCTGTCAGTCGTTTGTCAACCTTGTCCCTACCTTGCACGGCCAAAGGTTGGCAGGTATGAAGTTTGTCATCCAGTTGCTCAAACACGAAACTTTTACTTCGCAGCAACTACGCTTATAACAACCTTGGTTGTGCCGTTAGCATATGCAGTGGGATAAGAGAGCTTCGGTATTGCTGTGTTAGTGGACTGGGAGGTTGAGACATTTTTCCCCTTCTCCCGTACAATAAATGACTGGATGGGGACGTTAGTGGTATTTTTAAAGAGTGTGATGGGAAGGGGGTGGAGTCTATTGGGAAAGCTCCACCTCCCTACATCAGTAACCGCTATAAACTTCAAACTAATTCCGTAGGTACCCCAGACCCTCCCTCTGACCTGGTCTATAATGATGGAGTTGTGATAGAGAGTTCAGTGGATCTCCAGTGGACCAGACCTGCCCACACTGGAGGGGTGTCTCTTACTGGCTACAACGTGAGTGCTAATGGATGGAGTGAAGAGGCCACGGATGATGGTGTCAGAGTCAGCTATACTGCCAACTCCAGTTTCGTGTATGGAGAAGTGTTCGTCACAGCTGTCAACTACTGTGGTCAGGAAAGTCAACCTACGGCTATTAATATTGCTGCTGCAGGTGATTACGCTGCAACTCAAGTATATTATATGTATGCTTTATGCCTAGTTAGGAGGGTTGCTCTTCTGCGGGAGGGGCAGTATACTCAGCCCCTTCATCCTTTATACAAATGGAAAAATCATTTCAATGGGGATATAGGGATGGCTCAAAACATGAAAATCTTTGTTTGATCTATTATTAATCAATACAACAAGCATACTGTGGTTTGAAGGCGAGGTCATTCTCGCCGAGTTTTGAGGCGTTTTGTACGCGGATCACGTCAGGTTTGACCTGTACATAGAGTGTGTACCTATAGGAGGACACAGCTATAATTGTAGAGTAAGCATGGACCCTGACGTGACTATATAACTAGATATTACTATCATACATAATATATATGATGACCAATTGTGATGTAATCATCTCTGGCCATGTGTACTGTTTCGAATGAAAAGCACTGAAGTGCAAACCCTCGGCGCATTGTGACGCGCACGCGTAAGTAAACGCATGTGCCATATCACTAATTGATGGGCTGGGTTTAGCTTTAGCTGTTACTCGTGGTATCTGGCCAGCTCGCGCAGAGTCTGATGCGGGCTAACTACACTGTTAAAAATGGGGTGTTACGGCAACACCTTTTGGGGCGCCCATGGGACTGTGCCAGTTTGGCACCCTTGGGGTGTTAGGGTTGGTGTTAACCATCACCCATAAGAGTGTACAGGAACACCCTTTCTGGAGTGATGTACACCCATAAGAGTGCTATTTAGCCTTTCTATTGATGCTACAATACACCCTTTGGGGTGTTCATAAACATTTCATAGGGTGTTCAACAACACGCGGTTGGTGCTCTAGAGCGCTGTTCGTTGTTGCAGTAGCGCCATTGCTCTTACTGTTGAAGTGACAAAAATATTTCACAGTAAAAGAGCATGAGATACAAAGAGCAATGATACAGTAAAGAGCATAAGATAAAATCTAATGATGCTAGAGTCCTTTTGTCAGAAGTAACCACAGAGATGTAACCATGGTTTTCAGTGATTTTCTTCACAGCCTCATCAAGGTCAGGCTCATTCTATAACAACAGTTCGTCCATAGTTATGTACATGATAATAATTATTATATATAATGTTGACTTACAGAAAACCGATGCATGATGCACAAGTGATATTTTTGCTCGAGGAGCAAGCAAAAGTGCAGCTCAGTAAGCTCCAAAGAATGGATTATTTGCAGCAGCTGCAATCCTGTGAAGTGGGAATGCATGCACCTCCAATACAACTATACATACTGGCATATAAATTATATTTTCACACTCACTTGACCAACTTGAAATATGAGAAGGAAGTGTACAGTACCATGTATGCTCATCATTATGCATCAGGAGGAAATGAATTGACTTCTTCCTGCTGCTTTGAAAGGGCATCCCTATTGGTTTGTGACTCCAACTCTGCAAAGATATAATTATACCAATCTTGGCAGATATCAATAAATCCTGCCAAATTCTTCAGCAATTTCAACTCCTATTATAGCCTTTTAAATTCCTCTTCATTTATGAAGAAATACCAACATCTGAAAGCATTGAAAATACCGATTGCATGACTCACTATCAGCCCTACTGTTCTGATCTTCCCTCCCCTCGACTGCCATACTGGTACTTGAAGTAACAAAGTTATCTAAATACATGCTGGCCGCTCCTACTCTCTCCTTTCTCAATTCCCTCACGCGTCCGTCTGGAGAAAACGTCAGGAACACCAAGCACTAACCCAGGCTGTAGTACCCATCGCTGGTGCTGTTGCTGCTGGCTGTGATACTGGGCTCGGAGTAGCTGGAGTCTAAAACAATTCAGTGCCGTCTTAGCACCTACGTAGCTATGATCAGTCCTTACGTTTTCTTCGACGGGGTGACGCTACATCGAAATCTTCTATCGCGGCGTTCGTAGCCATGGTATTCGTCTGATGGTGGTCTTGGGCTCCAGAAAGCCTTTAAATACTGTAGCTTGAGTCGGCAAAAACACAGCCATAGAGATAGTCTACTTCTACTTGCATTTGAAAATGAGCGCGAACATGATCTCACTAATCACCGGTGTACGTGGGCGTGCCGGATGGTAAAGGTCATGCTGCGCTGCACGCGCAGACACCTTCGACGTGCATGCGCAGTGGGTGTGACTCGTCTGTATACTGTCATTCTCATTTACATTGACTATGATGCACAATGTCTCCAGCACAATATGTTTTTAAAGACATCTTCATGGTATTCACTCTCCTTATGAGGATCAAATTTTATCTCCATCATCAATTCTTCTTAATTACTTTCTTGCACCTACCGGTGTGTGAAATAATAACAATAATAAAACAGTGAAGAGAATGTGATATGGGATGAAGAAATTTTCTGACATTGCGTCCTATGAACAATAATTATTATTAAACAACTATGCACAAGGCATAGAAAGGAAGTTGTGATATAGGTGCTGGGTCAGTGTAGGATTACACCCTTAGGTGTTGTGGTGAGCACTAGAATGTGCCATGGTTTACTCTACACCCCAAGAGTGTTAGTAAACACCTACTTAAGCGTAGTGAACACCCCTTAGGTGCTCCAATACACCCTGCCAGTTTTGGTACAGAAAATGGGGTGTTAGATAACACCATATTTTTAACAGTGTACACTACTAGATAGCATGCGAGAGGCGATATAAGTACACGCCCTGTGTTACATCTTCTGGTGCCTCTGAGGTACGCAGAGCGCGTGGATCCATAAGACCATGATAAGCTATCTCGTCCGTTGTGTATTAGCATATTGGCTTTTCACGCTGTAGCTCTGCAACAGAGCAGTTTCAGAGAAAACCGCACATATTATCTGACCTTCATTTCCCGTTAAGTAGGTCGTATCCTTTGTGAGACGAACAAACACCCGAGAGGTGAGATTGAGAGTAACGGACAGACAGACAGACAGACAGACCCAACTGCCGTAACCCTCGCTGCGCATGCGCGCCGAGGGTTAATGAGTTTGTTATATATATAATATACAATGATACACTTCTCTTCACTCTGAAACCTTGATATAATATAATAATAACTTGCTCCTAATGTTCCAAAGTATGCTAACCACTTTTGCTATTGTTGCTGTAGCTACAGCAATTTCACATGTTTGGCATAACAAGAAGATAGCTATACTAAATCCAACTTATTCCTGTCTTAACGATATATTCTCAATATGTATGAAGATTTAACAGGGTATCCTAACTTACATGATTCACTTGATATCTCAAAGCAATGTGACCCATAGATAACCAGATAGATGACATGCAATACATATGCGGATGCACTATTTACCTACGTAGTAAGCGGGTTCTCTTTTTCTAGCACCACCACGACCTAACTTAACCAATCCACTTACTTGCGAAGACGAATCTGCACCATGGACGATAGTGTGCATGGTGAGGCCCATTAGTCGTTTAGTAGCTATTTTTATTGTTCCACTTATCCATACAGTACGAACAGTGGAAGAAAGGAGTGGTGTATCCCAATACAAAATTCAGCCTAGAACTCATGCATACTAACGAAACTTCTTCTGGAGATTATTCCTGCTCTGACGTGACTGCTAATGGTACTAAATGTACTGTGGACTTCCCAAGAGATATCTACAACATCACTGTCACTCTTGTGAATGATTTTGGTTCCACTGTGGACAGCCAAGTGGTTGATAGTGAGTTTTATCTCTCATTGTCATTTATGAAGATTATAATCGCTTTTCCTACAGCACGGATTATAGTTGAAATTGAGGAAGGAAAGTTAGAGGACGGCACAAGATTGACTGTCACTGTGAGCGTAAACAGTCGTTGTCCAATGAAGTGTCCCGTCACAGTCTTATTTGGAACTAAACCTAGGAGTGGTTACGGCGATTGCTCAAATATCCAGCGAAATGTTACCAAAGGACCTCTTTCTCCTGGAGACTCTGCTACTTTCTCTGTGGAGGCTGCCTCTGTCATTCTGGGAGATGGGGAAAAATACTGCTATCTTGTCAGTCTTTGTGGAAATATTAGTGAGTAATTTGATTCCAATAATGGAATAGTTTTGACAACCTGCAATTTTTCTTAGTCAGTAGAGGCAGCGTTGATGGTGGTTTATCACCTGCTGAAATTGGTGCTAGTGTAGGTAGTGGTTTGTTTGTTGTTGTTGTTGTTGTTGTTGTCCTGATAATGGTCGTATACAAGAAGAAGCATCATGCTACTGGTAAGTGACAATTATTATGCTATGTATGTGTTAATTTCGTGTTACTTATAGAGAGAGGTATTGGAATGCAAGATAAAACGTGAGTTTTGCAGTTTCTGGTTAGATAATAAAATGAAATGTTTTAGTTCCAGTTGTCCGGAGACGAAACAGGCCTCAGAAGGAACTGACCTCAAAGACTCTAACCCCAATCTCAGCACTTCTCAACCTGAGGAAAGAGTGGTGTATACTGACGTCAACCTTAACAGAAAGACTAAGCAGGTAGAACAACCAGTACTAACCTAGCTGCACAAGCAGTGTGGAAAGTATAATATATAAAACTCTCTCTTAGAACCCCGGTGCCATTGAACACCAGGAGGGTCCCAGTGGGGATTTGTATGCCATGCCACAGAAGAACGGGAGGAAGGCCAAAGGTGGGAAGGAGAAAGTGAAAGCGCAGCCGACAGAAGAGGAAAAAGCTGCCATGTACTCAACACCTAACAAGGAAGGACAAAAGAGTGAACGGGGTCAGTCATATCTCTACTATGTGCCTTATTGTCTTCAAGGAAAACAAAATGTAGCTACAAGCAGATTGACTTCACTTTTGCAATCCACACTCTACTGCATAATTATTATGGCAGTGTATGCACCTTCGGGGTGTGTTAGGCCCATTCATATACCCTGTGTACAATACTACAGTTATGTATACTGTCATAATAATTATTTCACTATAGTGCAGGCGGAAATGTTTACATTGCGCCATGTCATGTTGTGAATTCTTGCCAGAGGGAATGTGGGGAAATTCCAGTCCTCATTATAGTACTTGATATTGGGACATGATAGTTTGTTTATAACTACCCGTTTTCGATGACTTAAGTTGACATGACTTTTCTGTCATTATTTTCAGTTGAGGTACCCAGATCTGGAGATTCAGCACACTCCGAGCCAGCTTTGGAAGACAACTGAGCGATAGCTGGATCTATGCCAGATGTGTAGCTAGAGCTAGGATACAAATAAAGCACAGTTTTATTAGTAACACATGAACACATAATATAATCGTGACTATTGTAACTACGATTTGTAGCGCATAAAAAAAAGTGTTTCTGCTTGGGTCACATTGCTATTCTTGTTGTGCATCTGTTCATTAAGAATGTGGCATTATCAGAGCGTCGGTAGACGCTCTATATAGGGATGACGCGGGTGAAATCTCACGTGATCCGCGTACAAAACGCCTCAAAACTTGGCGAGAATGACTCACCATTGCTTGAAAATCACTAGCAATAGTCTACAGGCCAATACCTAGCTATACATACTCCCCAAGACTTCCTACGTGCCCTCAGTTCCCCACGAGAGAATTGGCTCTTACGCGATTTCACGATTATCGTGTCATCATCATCATAATTTATTCTTCATCTTCCGGTTTTTTCTTCAGTAAACCAGCTATCTCGTTACCGAAAATAGTTGAAGTGCTGATTTTTCCATCAAACGTTTCTAGATTCGCCAGAGGTGTGCACGGACATCAAGCGATCGTCTCTTTCTTGCCGCAAGTCACTACGGTAGATCGTTGAGCTCCTCCACGGTAGTCACTGAACAACGCCATTTTTGCTGCTAACTCAGCATCAGTGAGCCGCATGCGCCGAGAGGAGGGCGTTTCCCCAAAGCGGTGCGCGCGCATTCTCGTGCGTGAACCAGGTCTACGAGACTAAGCCAGGATGCCTGCAGAGGAACTCTTATCCTCCAGTGCCTTCTGTAAGTCAGTATACACATTTTTAACTGGCTAGCTTGCTTTTAGCTGTTGATTTGCACGAGGCAGTCTGCGCCGGGTTACGCGAGCCTTACAAATTAGCCTTCTTTCTTTGTCCCCCGGGTAGCTGCTATATACCATTACTGAAGCCTGCCCATGAAATCGGCACCGTGTGCCACCACCTGATTATTGCGTCCTTGTTGGCCTGGAGACACTACGCGTACATCCCCGATTCAGGCGCAGCAGCCCATTAGCTACTGCTTTCATCAGTTATCTCTACAACATACCCATGAACATCAGGTGACTGAAAATGCAGTGTTGTCATAAGCAGTTAAAAATAGTGGAAACAAGTGGAAAAATCATTTCTTCAAAATGAAAGGGGATATAGGGATGGCTTGAAGCACCAAAAAGGAACAAACAAGGGGTCATTACACGGCAAAGTTACACAAAGCTACATGACACCATCCCTATATCTTTGTTGTTATACGGCTCTGCAATAGAGGTTGTCTTGCATGTATATTTAGCTCAAGGGAAAGTTTGCTTATAAACAAAGATATAGGGATGGTGTCATGTAGCTTTGTGCAACTTTGCTGTGTAATGACCCCTTGTTTGTTCGTTAAACCATCCCTATATCCCCCTTTCATTTTGAAGAAATGATTTTTCCACTTGTAATTATAAGGGCTGAATGTAGAAATGTTAGATGGAACAAAACAATTGCAACTGAGTTCCTTCAGTAACATTTGTAAGTTTTTCCCTTATAGAACGTCGGTATGTGTAGGGATTGCGCGGGTGAAATCTCACGTGATCCGCGTACAAAACGCCTCCACACTCGGCGAGAACACACCTAGCTCTAGCTTTACATAAGCCAAAAGCGTCCATACATGCCTTCGGTTTTACACGCGAGAATCCGCTCATACGCGAGTTCACGATTTTCGTGTCATGATAATTGTATTCTTCGTCAACTTCTTCTTCAGCAAAATCTCCTTACTAGAACAATTTGAAACGCAGATTTTTTCACTAAACGTCCCCACAGTCGACAGAGGTGTGCACGGAGATCAAGCGATTGTTTTCTCCTGCAGTATATTATACATCTCTCATGGGGCTCTTCACGTAGACACTGAACGACGCCATTTGCTGCAAACTCAGCACGCACAGTGGGGGTGGGGGGTTTACTTTTTATTTTTATTTTTGGGGGGGAGTTGTCTGTTTGCGCGTGCGTATAATAATGGAGTGCGGTAGGTGAACAGTTGCACCACAACTAACTTTCCTGCATCTCCTTTTTGTTGAGGCTTTGCCCAAATTAGTGGAAAAATCATTTCTTTGAAATGAGGGGTGTACGGATGTCAAGTCATTAAAAATGAAGGGAACAAGAAGATGCATACACTGAGACATATAGCCATATATAGTCATTCATAGCCCCATCCCTACACCTTTCTTTATTTCGAGATCTGCAGTTCTTATGCACATCTGGATGTTATGAGGTTCTTGTGCTTTTTTCATTGCCTAATGCATTCATGACTAGCAAACATTTCAGAGGAGGATAACAAAGATGTATATAGGGATGGGGTGCATGAAGATCAAGCGTTGTATAATTATAATGCCACATTCACTATGTATTTCAGCACCACAAAGAATCATGGACATTTCTATGGGATTCAGCTGTGATGTTTCATTGGGGGATCCTATACCCGTGGGAATTGATTGGATGGTAAGAGTGTCAGATATGAGTAGACACCATACAACATTCATATTATACACAGTATGGAGATAAGGAGGAGGGAGTGGTGTATCCCGGAAATGTTGAGGTGGGTTTGGAGGTTAACAATGGACACTCTGCCTGCTCTAATGTGACTGCTGATGTCACCAGCTGTACTTTAGACCTCCCCAGAGATATATACAACATCTCCATCACTCAGACCAATGATTTTGGCTCAACTGTGGACAGCAAAGTGTTAAATAGTGAGTGTATTGCACAGTCATATAAAGTCATACCTACTTTTAAAGACTTCCAACCACTCTTCTAGCTATCACAGATTTACTCATTACTTCTCATTACTGAAACAGAACAATATTATAATTATGTACCTCTAAATATTTTCGCAATGGTGACATTGAGGAATACTATGATCTTTGTAGTGGAAGTGCTAGCTGTGACTGAGCAAGCTTCCTTTAAACTGAATGCCCAAGTACTGTTGATTGTGACTGTGAGAAGAAACAGACTATGTCCAGAGACCCAGTCTCCAGCTATAGTGACGTTTGGTTCTGCGGCGGTGGCAGAAAGACAATGTCGGGGTCAGCTGAATGCCACTGAGATGGCCATCCCTTCTGGAGACTCTGCCTCCTTCTATGTGGATGCTGCTGACATCTCAGTACTACCTGCTGAGACAATCTGCTTCATAGTCAGTCTTGATGGAATACCTGGTGAGTTTAATGGTATAAGAGTCTCATGTGATCCATAATTCTTCTCAACATTCCCAGTGACATCTGGAAATGCCTCTACAGCCATCACTGTAGCTGTTGGTAGTGGTGATGAAGGTTGTCCGTCGGTTGGACTAGCTGTAGGTATTGCAGTGGCTCTCTCTCTACTGGTGGTCTTGCCAGTGGGTGTGGTCCTCGGCATTTCTGGAATGTGGTGTCTAACGAGGTCTCGTGCTGCGTCTGGTGATAAGGGGAAGAGAAATGTCGCTCCAGTACTGTACGAGGAACCTTCAAAAACAACCATTCCTCTGACAGAGAACCAAGCCTATGGTCAGGTTATTCTTCGACAGAGGACCAGCTGAGTGTAGTGATGGAGTATCACAAGACATAGTATACAGTGTGTTTAAAAGACTTCAATACCTAGCTAGCTACCATCCCGACAATTTCAACTATGGATTGTACCTGCAATGAATCACAAGACATAGCGTACAGTGTGTATATTATTTAATGACTTTGACTCAAACAGCAACATACTCCATCGTAGATAACTAACAATGGTAACATACTCAATCCCATTGGATGCAGCAAAAGTTAAAACTTTTTACCAGCTCAATGTTTTAGATTAGCAGTATAATATTATAGTAATGAGGCACCATTATACACTATTATGCAGTATGTTAGTACGTTGAGAGAGAGGGCAGTTAGAGTAAAATAGGGGTCGATTACAATGGGTTTGGGAAGCAACTCAAGAGGAGATACTATTCCCTCGACCAATCAGTTGCCAACAAGGTTTAGACTGTTTTACAGGTTAGTTATGCAATATAAAAGAGAGAGCGACGCACGATGAGTGTCTGTTGTGTGGTGATGAGCGCGATAATGTGAGTCATGTTTTGTGGGAGTGTCCAGCATAATTATTATAATAGCCATGGAGCATGTTTGACCTGCAAGGAAGCTTAGGAATTGGTTTACTATTTCCATATATACTCTTGATAGTTTCAGGAAAGCATCCTTTGTGTTGAGTACTATGTTATGGGAGGATAGCAGAGGTTAGATTAAACGATGATAATCCTAGCATTCGAGAGTCTCAACAATGGGTTTGGTGTGGAGTTCATAGCTCATTCAACGATCACTTGGTCAAATGGCACTCACAACCAGGAAGACTCACTTGTCTCAAACTGTATATAGCTCGGTTTAGAGCACTAACCTAGACTGCATGGTGTCGTTGGTTAAAATCCCACCCCTTCAACCCTTACATCTGTGTTGAGGTCGAGAGCCTCTACCAGGGCAGCTCTTCTTGGAAAAATGAGCTGTCTTGGGCTTTGCTTCTGCCTCTGGCTAGTGTTGAAAAAAAATTATTGTTGATGCAGTTGAAAAAGTTGCTACTGTTACTGAGAGGGAGTGATAGTTTTACTTCGTTGAGACCGACTGCTACAGTTTAACCCAGAGATTTTTAAGAAAGGGGTTTTCTTTGCCATTGCTACCCAACTACAACTACCTACCGCACCACTCTGGTTTACCGGTTCCCCACACCAAACTCCACCCACCTGGTGGGCATTATTGGGAGTTGGGTGTCCACAGGTCCGTCCCTCGTTCTCGACTGTCTGCTGGTGAGAGTTAGTCCCTCCTGCCCCACCTCTATCTCCAGTCTTAATGAAGAAGAGTGTGAAACTGGTACCACACATGACCCGCGACGGGGAGAGAGGATCACTCAGACTCTCAACGTCTGTGTCCTGAGGAACCTATGTAGGAGAGGGATATGTTCTCTTGGAAGTTGTTGACATTATATACACTCATCCTAGAGTGTGTCTCGTATGCTGCGAACTTTGAGATGTAGTTAGGTACATAACTTAGTGCCATACTTGTTTGTTGTTTTGTATATTATAGTACATTTTAAATGACATTAGTTTTGCTCTGTTAACTGTTACTTCATTAATTGGTGCTACAACAGTCGTGATTGTCCAGCCCTACAGAGAAGAGTACTCAGCGTTCAATGTCATCAGTGCAAACCTCTTTCTGTGGCAGGTACTGGTCTGCGCCTTTACGTCAAGAGAGAGTTTATCTTCAATTGTTGCAGCAGAATTCAAAGACCATTTTTTCTGCGTCTTCCTTCCTTTGACCTACATCATTGGAATACCACTGCACCAACTGGTGGTAAAGTTCCGACAACGGCAGTTGCAGAAAGCCAGTTCACTCACTAGTTGACTGCCACATCGTCTCGTCCACTCTGAATGTCTATATATCAGAGCGTCGGTAGACGCTCTATATAGGGATGACGCGGGTGAAATATCACGTGATCCGCGTACAAAACGCCTCAAAACTTGGCGAGAATGACTCACCATTGCTTGAAAATCACTAGCAATAGTCTACAGGCCAATACCTAGCTATACATACTCCCCAAGACTTCCTACGTGCCGTGCCCTCAGTTCCCCACGAGAGAATTGGCTCTTACGCGATTTCACGATTTTCGTGTCATCATCATCATCATCATCATCATCATCATCATCATCATCATCATCATCATAATTATTCTTCATCTTCCGGTTTCTTCTTCAGTAAACCCGCTATCTCGTTACCGAAAATAGTTGAAGTGCTGATTTTTCCATCAAACGTTTCCAGATTCGCCAGAGGTGTGCACGGACATCAAGCGATCGTCTCTTTCTTGCCGCAAGTCACTACGGTAGATCGTTGAGCTCCTCCACGGTAGTCACTGAACAACGCCATTTTTGCTGCCAACTCAGCATCAGTGAGCCGCATGCGCCGAGAAGGGCGTTTCCCCAAAGCGGTGCGCGCGCATTCTCGTGCGTGAACCAGGTCTACGAGACTAAGCCAGGATGCCTGCAGAGGAACTCTTATCCTCCAGTGCCTTCTGTAAGTCAGTATACACATTTTTAACTGGCTAGCTTGCTTTTAGCTGTTGATTTGCACGTGGCAGTCTGCGCCGGGTTACGCGAGCCTTACAAATTAGCCTTCTTTCTTTGTCCCCCGGGTAGCTAGCTAATAGCTATATACCATTACTGAAGCCTGCCCATGAAATCGCCACCGTGTGCCACCACCTGATTATTGCGTCCTTGTTGGCCTGGAGACACTACGCGTACATCCCCGCTTCAGGCGCAGCAGCCCATTAGCTACTGCTTTCATCAGTTATCTCTACAACATACCAATGAACATCAGGTGACTGAAAATGCAGTGTTGTCATAAGCAGTTAAAAATAGTGGAAACAAGTGGAAGAATCATTTCTTCAAAATGAAAGGGGGATATAGGGATGGCTTGAAGCACCAAAAAGGAACAAACAAAGGGTCATTACACGGCAAAGTTGCACAAAACTACATGACACCATCCCTATATCTTTGTTGTTATACGGCTCTGCAATAGAGGTTGTCTTGCATTTATATTTAGCTCAAGGGAAAGTTTGCTTATAAACAATAAAACAAAGATATAGGGATGGTGTCATGCAGCTTTGTGCAACTTTGCCGTGTAATGACCCCTTGTTTGTTCCTTTTTGGTGCTTCAAGCCATCCCTATATCCCCCTTTCATTTTGAAGAAATGATTTTTCCACTTGTATAATTATATAGGTCTCCAGGTCGTCAATTTTCTCCTGTCACTATCCTGCTTTACGTGTCGATGTGTGTTCAATCACACATGAAGTGGCTATGCGAGCATCTACCACATCAGCGCTGATTGTATGAGTTATTTGCAGAGTGATTTTTCAGAGTACAGGGATTTTTTTAGGGAGCTGGATTTAGCAAAAGCTGTTTGAAGTGGATACGTGGGTGTGTGTTGAGGAGCAGCTCTTATACAGACAGAGATTGGATAGAAGGACACGTTCTACTGATAAATCCCCATTTTGTGATACCGGATGGTAAAATGAAAAGCACTAAAGTGCAAACCCTCGGCGAACTGCGCATGTGCGGTACCACTAATTGATGAGCTGGGCTTTTTACCCTCGGCGCGCATGCGCAGCGAGGGTACTGTAGTTGGGTGTGTGTGTGTGTCTGTTACTCTCAATCTCACTTCTCGAATGTCTGTTCGTCCCAGAAACGCTACCATCTATCCAACGGGCGACGAAGGTCAGAAACTATGTGGGGTTTTCTCTGAAAATGCTCCGTTGCAGAGCTAGAGCGCTTCCACCATTGTACGGCTAATGCGTAGTCGGCCATTTTTATCGCTGCGGAAAATGCGCATGCGCTTATAACCTCGACCGGGTCGTCCGCTTGCTCTGTGTATCTTGAAGGCACAAGAAGTCACAACGAAGGGCGTGTATCGACTCTCGCATACTATCTACTACTGTAGCTAGCCCGTGTCAGACTCTCTGCGAGCTACTAGCGGGAGATCACGAGTAAACGCATACTAATAGCAGCCCAGCCCATCAATTAGCGGTACCGCGCATCCCCAGTTCGCCGAGGGTTTGCACTTTAGTGCTTTTCATTGGGTCTGTCTGTCCGTCCGTCCGTCCGTCCGTGTGTCTGTTACTCTCAATCTCACTTCTCGAGTGTTTGTTCGTCTCACAAAGGATACGACCTACTTAACGGGCAATGAAGGTCAGAATTTTTGAACGGTTTTCTCTGAAAATGCTTCGTTGCAAAGCTAGAGCGCTTCCGCCATTGTATATACGGCTAATGCTAGTCGGCCATTTTTATCGCTGCGGAAAATGCGCATGCGCTTATATTTTCAACAGGCTCGGGTCGGCTTGCTCTGTGTATCTTGAAGGCAAGAGAAGTCACAACGAAGGGCGTGTATCGACTCCCGCATGCTATCTACTACTGTAGCTAGCCCGTGTCAGACTCTCTGCGAGCTACTAGCGGGAGACCAGGAGTAAACGCATACTAATAGCAGCCCAGCCCATCAAATAGCGGGACCCCGCATCCCCAGTTCGCCGAGGGTTTGCACTTTAGTGCTTTTCATTATGCCTTTACTCGTGGTATCCCGCTAGTAACTCGCGGAAAGTCTGGCACGGGCTAGCTACAGTAGTAAATAGCATGCGGGAGTCGATACATGCCCTTCTTTGTGACTTGTTGTGCCTTCAAGACACACAGAGCGAACGGACGCGGTCGAGGTAAGCCTGTGCTAATTTACATATTGGCTTGTTCACTTGGTTTTCACGCCATAACTTTAGAACGCAGTAGTTTTACGAAAATCGCCTTTTTTAAAATCAACCCAGTGTAGCACTGAACCCGATCATATCGCTATTTCGTGCGCGCGGTGGCAGTAAACGTGGTAACAGACAGACAGTCACACTTACGAAACAACCCTCGCTGCACATGCGCGCCGAGGGTTAATAACGGCGAGAGAAGTGAGCCTATGACTGGAATCTGCCGTAAATTCCTCGAGTGCTAATTATCGCGCGCGGCGGCGCCGGCCGGCCGATCCCTCCTCTTCGTTTCACACTGCGGGGCCATATTATACTGTAGTTTGTGCTTAGCTACATTCCCTTGAAGTCATTCTCTGTAAGTTTGAGTTGGTAATACCTTTGCATCGTTGTGTCGTTTGATTTAGGTTCCTTTGCTAGCCCAGCTCCATTCAGTCACTTGCGGTTGCGTTAAACCTCAAGGCTATCTGGATGTATAGAGCCATCCATCATCCCAATCACTGCAGTGTTAATATGTTTCTCTCCTATTAGCATCAGTACTTAATGTACTGAAGGTCCCAGACCACACCACGAGGAGGTTGGAGAGAACGTGGCCCAAGCGTGGAGGCGTGTGTGTATGCACAATATGACATGGAAGAAGTGTGCACGAGAAGATATACAAAAAAAAGACATGTTCCTTACCAACCTAACCTAACTAAGATGCGAAGAGACGACTAACTAGGATGCGAAGGGACGACTAACTAGGATGCGAAGGGACGACTAGCTATATACGGTGCAGGAACCTAACTAGGATGCGAAGGGACGACTAGCTAGGATGCAAAGGGACGACTAGCTACGGTGCAACCTAACTAGGATGCGAAGGGACGACTAGCTACGGTGCAACCTAACTAGGATGCGAAGGGACGACTAGAGGAACCTAACTAGGATGCGAAGGGACGTCTAACTAGGATGCGAAGGGACGACTAGCTATGGTGCAGGAACCTAACTAGGATGCGAAGGGACGTCTAACTAGGATGCGAAGGGACGACTAGCTATGGTGCAGGAACCTAACTAGGATGCGAAGGGACGACTAGCTACGGTGCAACCTAACTAGGATGCGAAGGGACGACTAGAGGAACCTAACTAGGATGCGAAGGGACGTCTAACTAGGATGCGAAGGGACGACTAGCTACGGTGCAGGAACCTAACTTGGATGCGAAGGGACGACTAACTAAGATGCGAAGGGACGACTAACTAGGATGCGAAGGGACGACTAGCTACGGTGCAGGAACCTAACTAGGATGCGAAGGGACAACTAACTAAGATGCGAAGGGACGACTAGCTATACGGTGTGATTAATTGGATCTTGAGAGGGCCACCTATGATAAACACAGTGAAAAAAAACTCTTAAGAAAAAAAACTTCAATGGGGAAATACAGTGCAGTTGGGCAGTTGTTGAAGATGTAGTGGCTTCTTCTGTGGTAAAACCACTCATACATGTTAAGGTAAATACCAGTTGTTGATACTTACCATGCGGTTGGTTAAATGGTGGTAGATGTAAAGTACTGAGTGGTGGATGGCTGTAGCTGTATAGAGAGAAGCCGCTGGTCTTCTTCTTGTCTGTCCTTGAGACGACTGCTGTTTGAGAGGCTGGAGAGCCGCTGGTAAGGAAATGGCGGCGTAAAGAGCAAGTCTTGGAGGCAACGGACACGAGAGCAGGCAACAAATGTTAGGCCTGTGGAGAACTCTCTCTTGCCGACATCGATGACCACCTTGTCCAGGGTGAGACCCTGAGACTTGTGGATGGTGACTGCCCATGCCAGCTTGAGGGGCAGCTGAAGACGTGAGCATGGGCCTCCTGAGGAAGACCAGGAGCGGCGAAGAGGAGTGATGGGTACTGTGCCGTCAGGGAAGGTGGGGCCGGAGTAGCTGTCAAAGCGGACCATGACAGCGATGGGCAGGTCAGGTGGTCCTCCAGTCCTGTAACAGATGGCCTTGACAGTTCCCATTGCTCCGTTGACGAGGCCAGCATCAACCCAGAGGTTGCTGGTGAGCATAACACGGGCTGACCTGGCCAGGCAGATGACTGCCTCCAGTCCTCCTGCATTGTCAGCTGGGGCCTTGGCTGCATTGGGTCCAGTGTGAACTGCCTTGATGGTGGCAATGGGCTGGCCACTGGCCTGCAGCTGAGCCACGTTGTACTCCACCACAGCTTCGACAGTGGGGATGAGGTGGAGGGAAGTGGAGAAGGGAGAGAGATCCTGGACTCTTGTGGGAGTGCGGGTCATGCATGAGGTGGTTCCAGTCGGCCACTGTTACCTTGGCATCTCTCAGTCTGAGGAGGACGTCTCGGAACTTGACTTGTTCTGGATCCTGGCCTGCCTGACGCATGACTTGGTCCAGGACCACAGCCAGCTGGAATGTCTGGTAGGCAGCTCTCCCCTGGTCAGAGAGCTCGGAGCGAGAGTCAGTGGTGTAGAGGGGAAGGTCCATGACTGGAGGAAGTTGGCCGAAATCTCCAAAGAGAAGACAGGAGCATCCTCCAAAGACCTCCTGGGAGTTGTGAGGGAAGGCCTGGCGAAGACGTCTGTCCACCTGGCCGAAGGTCTTCCTCCCCACCATCGACATCTCGTCGATGATCAAGTACCTGACTTGTGAGAAGGCCTGCTGGAGCTTGGTGAGTCTCTCACCCTCCAGGTCCTTGAACTCTCCTCTGGTGGGCAGACTGAGGAGAGAGTGGAGGGTGCGGCCATCAATGTTGAAGGCAGCCACACCAGTTGGAGCTGCAACCATGACCTGATGCTGAAGGAGAAGTCGGAGACAGTGGATTAGGTAGGACTTCCCTGTGCCCGCTGTGCCAGAGACTATCATCCTGAGGGGCTGAGGACTGTTGTCTGAGTTGTGCTGCTGAACGATTGTGTACACCCGCTGCTGCTTTCCCTGCAGGTTGGCTGGGTCAGCTGTGGTGGTGAAGATGTGTTGTCCAGCTGCCTGTCTCTGCTGAGCTATGAAGGACGGAGCCTCATCGATGTTGGGGTATGACTGTGCAGCAAGGGTCCAGTCAATATCCTCTTGTGTGTCCATGCTGGGCTGCATGTCTGCATTCTGGCGACAGATCAACATCCACTCTTCCGTTGCTCGTGATGGTGGAGTAGTGGTTCGCTGTTCCTCTTGCTCCTATACAAACAAAGACACGATGAACTTACAGTTATATTTACATGTAAAAACTGACCTCAGTTTCTTCAGATTCATCTTCATTAGTATGTAAGTGCTGAAGAAGACGATACATGTCATCCTCCAGGCAGGGAGGGATCTGGCCAGACTGTAGAAATGCAGCATAGGCATTACTGTAACTGTCATACCCAGAGAGTAGGTCGTCCATCTGGCGAAAAGGCTTGTGCTGCATCAGTGACTGGCGACAGTACTGTTCATACTTCTCCCCAGCAGGATCTGGTGAGACGTACGGTCGAGGGATGACGACAATACGTCTACTCCTGGGAGTCGGCCCAGCCCCGAGGGTCTTGGGCATAGAGTACTGGCGGGCAAACTCCAGGAGGGTCATGGGGTTGAAGTGAGGGGAGTCAGGTCGTCCCATGTAGTGGTCGACAATGGAGAGTGCTGTAGCATGCTGCCCCTCGTCCAGGTGGTCCTGAACAGCACGAGACCCATCGAGGCTGAGGATGATGAAGTCACGTGATGCCTTGAACATCGGTAGCTGCAGTAGTAGGTGGCAGGTCTCCTGGGCAGAGTAGTCTCTCTCTCCGACGGTGTTGATGAGGAGCTTCTGGACTGCCTTGAGAGAGGTGTTGCCTTCTCGGAGACCACGGACGATAGTGGTGAAGATCTCCTTGAGTGACTGAGACCGTGGCTCACTCTTGGTGACGTACTTGGTGCAGTACTGCAGGACTCTCTGGCGGGAGACAATGTACTGCATGTCCACGTTAGCTCGCCATGCAGACAGCTGGACTGGGTTGAAGCTGTTGATCATCCCGTCGTTCCTAGCTGTGAGGAGAATTGGTTCATCCTCGGTGACGATGGCAGTGTGAGGCTGCAGGGGTTTGGGGTAGCCAAAGCGGCACTCCTGTTTGCCATGCTTCGTCCTTAGGCAGTAGGAGGCAGAGCAGCGAGTGTGTCTCAGGCAGGTGGCCACCAGATCAGCCAGGTCCTGGTCAAAGTCCTGAATGTCCCCAAATGGCTTGTTGCAGATGTGGGGATCAATCTTTGGAGCTGGTGCATCGGCAATGTTGCTGCCATCTGGGAGGACGGCAGGGTTGGTGGTTGAAACGAGCTGGTCAGCTTGCCTGATGATCTCTGCCTGGAGTCTATCAATGCCACCATCATGAAGCTGCTCCACATCTGGTGTATCGGGTAACCAGGCTAGACCATGGACGTGAGGGCTGCCTCGGTGCTGCCACTCAAACCGGAGCCAGTAGTCCGTGGCTCCAAGGACTCCAGTGTAGAAGACCTTGACGAACTCCATGACTCTGTGATAGAAGAACCAGTCTGCGAGGCCTGGGTTCTCGATGACTGCCTTGGCTCTGGCAGTCCTGGAGTCAGGGTTGTCAGGGCAGATGAGTTGAGCCAGCTCTGGCCACTGGAGATCTGCTGCACTGTGTGTGAAGAAGACAGTCGGCAGACCCAGTGCGTCGACCATGGAGAGCAGACGACTCCTCTGACGTTGCCAGTACTGCTTGGTGCCACGCAGACTGGAGGTGTAGTGGAGTACTCGACTGGAGAAGGCCTCTCCCTGTCTCCCCACCATGTCCCGCAGCTCGTCCAGGGACAGCTGGCCATCTCCTGGGTGCTGTCTGACGTACACTCGGCCAGTCTGAAGGGCACGGTGTCGCATCTCGGTGTTGAGAGCAAAGAAACGAAATCGTGGATGCTTGGCAAAACGACCGTCATCGTACTGCATCAGGTGCTTGAAGTAGTTCCCGATGGTGACTGGGACCTGACGCTGGCCGAGGAAGTCAGCTGCTCCAGTGGGGAAGAGGGTGGGGAAGGCACAAGTGAAGTAGCCCTCAGTGGTGAACTCATTGAGTGGCATTTCACCAATGGATGGCCACATGAGTGGTGTGTGGAAGGAGGAGCTGGACTGATGCTGATCCACTGACTGCTGCACTGCCTCCTGCTGCGTCATTGAGGGGACAGCAATAGGAACGAATGACTGCATCATTGTTGGCTACATCTACAGAAGTGCTGTCAACTCTGTCTGAGGACTCGTGAGTGACTGATACAAGGTCAGACACATTACCATCCTGAGGGAGCTGTTCCAGAGCTGTGGTGTCGATGGTAATACCCAAGGATCGATAGTACTGGTTGTGGATAACCAGCCATTGCAGAGCTCTGCCAGGGAACCTCTCACAGCAGGTGATGCACAGGGACATCTGCACAAAGATGCCATTTCAGAATGGAACTTGCTTACAATTGGCTGGTGAAGTTGAGGTTTATTTGAAGTGGCAGTACTTGCCTGCTGCATGTGACTTTCTCGGTCACGCTGACGTCTTGCTTCAGTCTCTTGTGGAGTCTCTAAGGCAATCCGTTGTTGTTGGTTACGTCGTACCAGCTGTAGGCGGGCCACTCTCTCCTCGCTGGACTCGGCAGCAATTCTCTGCTCTTGATTCCTGCTTAACTGTTGCAGGCGGGCCTCTCTCTCCTCACTGGACTCGGCAGCAATTCTCTGTTCTTGATTCCTGCTTAACTGTTGCAGGCGGGCCTCTCTCTCCTCACTGGACTCGGCAGCAATTCGTCTTGCCTGGTAGCTTCGGAGCTGTGCGAGCCTAGCCCTTTCCCCTCATTCTGCAGCGCGTCTAGCTCTATCTTGTACACGGCGTCTCGCTAGTCGTGCTTCCCTTTCTTCCGCAGTTTCGGCGGCGTGGCGTTCCCTTGCCCGTTCCTTATCACGACGTCTCGCTAGTCGTGCTTCCCTTTCTTCCGCTGTTTCGGTGGCGAGGCGTTCCCTTGCCCGTTCCCTATCACGCAGTCGGCGTTGAGAAAGCCGAGCCTCTCGCTGATCAAGAGTCTCATGGGCACGACGTTCTCTTTCCCGCTCTCTTCGACGACGAAGGGCATCCTCTGTAGACTGATGATCCATGGTTGCCACAGCTGTTGGACTAGCACACGTGCGTATGTAACGAAGCCGCGCATGCGCACTTACACGACGTACGGCCTGACGTATAGAAAAATCGCGCCGTTTGGACCACTAGGTTAGCTCGCTCCCGCTAGCCAATAATAATTTTTACTATATAGTAGGTGAATGCACTGCATTTTTGGCGAGCGGGAGCGATCTAACGATTGTGTGCATGGGCAAAAAAAGCTGTTGGTTCCTGTGTAGTAACTGTAGTGGACCCTCTCTCTCCTCGGCAGACTCGGAGGCAATTCGCCTTGTCTGATAGCTTCGGATCTGTTGGAGCCTTGCCTGTTGCGTTTCCTCTGATTCCGCAGCACGTGTCGCTCTTGCTCGTACACGACTAGTCGTCCTTCCCTTTCTTCCGTTATTTCCGTGGCCAGGCATTGCCTTGCCCGTTCCCTATCCCGCAGTCGCCGTCGAGAAAGACGAGCCTCTCTTTGCTCAGAAGTCTCACTGGCACGACGTTCTTCTCGTCGACGACCCGTCGACACGAGAAATATACGGTGTAAAAATTTGAAATGTTTTTCGGATAAAAATAAGCGCGTGGACGACGTACGCGGTCATAAATATACAAGTGGAAAAATCATTTCTTCAAAATGAAAGTAGGATATAGGGATGACTTGAAGCACCAAAAAGGAAGAAACAAGGGGGCATTACACACCAAATATGCACAAAGCCACATGACACCATCCCTATATCTTTGTCTCATATTAACCTTTGCCTATGAACAATAAAACAAAGATATAGGGATGGTGTCATGTGGCTTTGTGCATATTTGGTGTGTAATGACCCCTTGTTTCTTCCTTTTTGGTGCTTCAAATCATCCCTATATCCTACTTTCATTT